TCAAACTTCTGAGAACCCGGATGGAGAGAGGAATCCTCGAAGAAGGCCATGGCCCCTACAGGAACCCGTTCTTTCTTGTTCAGAAAAAGGATGGTCAGTTTCGATTGATCAATTCGGCCACATTGATGAACAAGCACACAATCAGGGATAGCCTCATTCCTCCGGGCTGTGACGAGTTCTCTGCGGACTTTGCCATGTGCAAGATGCTATCACTTCTGGACTTCTTCTCAGGATATGATCAGATGGAGCTGGCAGAGGTCAGCAGGGACCTGACTAGCTTCATGACACCAATTGGGCTACTAAGGATGTGCACGTTGCCGCAGGGAGCCACGAATTCAGTCGCCCAGTTCACCCGGAACATTCTTCGAATCCTGAGAGACCTCATTCCTGACGTATGTCGATCCTTCCTAGACGATATTTGCGTCAGGGGACCCACGACGGACTACGACGGGGAGGAGGCAGCGCCAGGAATACGCCGTTTCGTTCTAGAGCATTTGATCAACCTCGACAAGGTGCTGGTGAACATTGAGCTATCCGGTTGCACAGTTGCAGGCCAGAAGTCTCAATTTTGCAGGACGACAGCGGTAGTGACTGGATACCTCTGTGGAACTTACGGGAGGAAACCGGAGGAAAAGAAAGTTGTGAAGATTTTGGAGTGGAAGGTTTGCCTTGATGTAGGGGAAGTAAGATCCTTCCTAGGCATCGTTGGGTACTATCGTCAATGGATCAAATGGTTCGCGTGGATTGCGAAAGCCTTGACGGATCTACTGAAGAAGGACGCTGAGTTTGTCTGGGGAGCGGACCAAAAAGAGGCCATGGAGACGTTGAAGAAGAAGATCACGGCACCGCCGATTCTTATTACTCTCAACTACTCCGAAGAAGCTGGGGAGGTGATCCTTATGGTCGACGCAAGCCTCCTGGGCTGGGGAGGCGTTCTGATGCAGTTGATCGATGGAAAACGGAAGCCGATTCGATTCGAATCCGGATTGTGGAACCCAGCCGAGACCAAGTACGACGCAACGAAGAGGGAATGCAGGGCAGTCCTTTACGCATTTCGCCGCCTCAGAGGCATGATATACGGCATCCCCTTCGTCCTCGAGACCGATTCGCAAGTGCTGGTCCACCAAATCAACGGCAAGGCAGACGACGTCCCCGGATCCCTAGTTCTGAGATGGATCAGCTACCTTCTTTTGTTCGATTTCACGGTTAGACATGTACCTGGAAAGAAGAACCGCGTGGCGGATGGGTTATCACGAAAACACGCGGGACCATCTGATCAAATGGATGCCCAGGTTGAAGGGGATATTGAGGACTTCATTGACCTCCATCTCAACTCAGTCCACGTCAACAACGAGCCCAGCGTCTTAGATGGCACCTACTCGCAGGGGCACAAGGACATAGCCAAATACCTCTGCACGTTCGAGAAACCTGAGGGGCTAACACGCTCGCAATTGCAATGGTTCAAGAGAAAAGCCCTTACATTCTTTGTCCAAGGGCGACGACTCTGGAAACGAGCCAAAAGGGACTACGACTCACCCCTACTAGTGGTCGATGATCTACCAACGCAGAGGAAGTTGATCAAATCATACCACATCGATAGCGGCCACAAAGGGAGAGAGGTGACCTACAACCTCACGAAGAGGAGATACTTCTGGAATGGCATGTGGAGCCAGATCTCGGAAGCGGTGCGGTGCTGTCCGACTTGTCAGGTACACGCCCCTTGGAGGCCATTGGAAGCCGTCCAGTTCACCCAACCATTTGATCCTATGATCAAGGTTCATTTCGACTGCCAATACATGCCCCTTGACCAAGGATTCAAGTACCTAGCAGAAGCAAGGTGCGACATGACAGGATGGGTGGAAGCAATTCCCTTGAAAAAGATCTCGGCTGCGGCGCTAAAACGCTTCGCAACCAACCTTATTTACCGATTTGGCATGATTTCTGCGGCTGTTGTGGATGGTGGTCCCGAATTTAAGAAGGAGTTCCCACCCTTGCTTGAAGAATTGGGAGTACAAAAGATCCAAATATCTCCATACAACGCTAAGGCCAACGGCATCAACGAACGAGGACATTACTCCCTTTCGATGGCTTTGAGGAAGTTGAAGAAGAAGGGGAAGGCAAACTGGTACAACAACCTGGAGAAAGCACTGTTTGCCGACAGAACAGCTGCGAAGGCACCACATGGACACTCCCCTTTCTACCTTATCCACGGCTGGGAGCCAGCGTACCCTCTGGAGGTTGATGTTCCTACTTGGCGATTGATCAATTGGGATGACGTGGCTACAACAGAAGACCTCGTCCTAGCGAGGATCAGGGTCCTCGAAAGGAAAGGCAAAGACGTAGAGGCAGCACGACAGAAGATCGGGGCATTCCGGGCGAAGGTCGCGAAGAAACAGAACGAGAAGAATGTTCACAGGCTGAGAAAGACCCCCCTGAAGGTCGGGGACTTGGTATTGAGATTCGATGTTCCCCGATCAATTGATATGTCGACAAAGATGAAGATGGCGCGCAAATGGTACGGTCCGTTTCGCATCTTCAAACATCACGACGGAGCGAATTACTATAAGCTGGAGACGCTTGATGGCTATGGGGTCACTAAATCTATCCACGGAGATCACCTGAAGAAGTTCGTGAAGGACGAGAACGGTTGGTGGGAAGGAGAATCAGACGAAGAGGAAGCCCTCAAGAAGCTCCAGGAGGAGAAGGAGAATTCCAAGGGATGCGAAAGGGAGGAGAATACACGAGTGACAAGGAGCATGAAGAATTCGACTGATCAAATGGTTGATCAAGAAAACGATAGCGAAAGCGACAGCACAGACAGTGGGGAGGAAGATCTTGGTGAGAAGAGTGAGATACAGTACCCGAAGAGACAGACTCCAGTGCGCATGGAAGTTCAACTCCCTGGCCTCACTGCTGAGCAAGCTGCTCAGTATGAGAGTCTCTAAGGAGAAACGGCGAGATGGGCAGCTGGCACTAGAAACCTGTGAGGATCCTTAGGTTTCTAGTGGGGGAGGAGGAGAGGAAGGAGAAATTTTGTACCACAACACAACCACCGGAAATTTTCAACAAAACCGGACATTTCATTTTACGAGGGACACGCAGAACATTTGATCAGACACCAGGGACACCGCCCAAGACACAGGGGACGCTGTCCAGGACAGGCTGGACACAACAAGAGACAGCCACGACACCATCCACGACATTTCAGACACAACACTCAAATTTGCCGTTTCTCAGAAAACAGGCTTAACACAAGGGCAACAGAAAGCAGCCAGGAATAGACGAGGGTCCCGACAAGAACATTGGAAGCAGCTGGAAACAATTGATCAATTAAAAAGCAACTACGGACGCAAAACCAGGCCTCGCCATGAGGTGGGCCGAAACAACAAAAACGCCATGCCACGCCCACTCAGAATCCACAATCACTCGAAACGCATCGCCTCCCAAAAACCAGTCTCATCAGCCCTCTCCTCAAGGGCAGGTCCTCGCAACTCATCAAGAAGTTGACGGTCCGTTTCGGCAGACCCATCAATTGAAGGGTACTCGCAGGAAATACGAGGACAAGACATTGGATTCAATTGATCAATTGAAACCTCATCCGGTGGATTCGCTGGAGTCTCCTTTCCCAGAAGCGGCCATTCCAGAGGACCCTCCGTAGCGGACTTCGGTTGGTATCCAGTCATGAACTCCCACTCGCAGGGCTTTTGGTGCCAAACGCAGTTGGCGCACTTCCCATTCATGAAGCCCTTAATAGAGACACAAGTCGAGAAGGGATATAAGATGTGCTCCTTGTTCCAGCTGATGTTCGTCAAGTACGACTGACAGCAATGGCGACAAAGAATGGGGTTGCGGTGACCGAGAAGGGCGATTCCAAGAGCCTTTCGGTGCTCAGGGCGTGAGATCAATTGCTTGAAGAACCAACCGCGAGGATGGGCGAAATCAGCGGGGATGTAGATGGGCTGAAGAGGACGCTTGGAGATCAGGGAGACGAGCTCCCCTATGACCTTGTCGGGAGTACCGCAGCGTTCGAAGAACATTTTTGCATGCGCCTTTGGGTTCTCACCCGGGCTATCGTTGAAAGCGAGCTCCACGTACAAAGGATAACCATCCCGGTCGAGAGCGAAGCGAGAACAGATCCAGACCTTCAGACACTCGCGGATCTGTTTGATCATTTGGTCAGAAAGAGCATCAAGGGCAGAAAGGATTTGAGAACGAGCCTGGGGAAGACGGGCGTTCTTTGCCTCCTGAGGGGTGATCTTGAAACCTCCGCGATCGCTCCATTGCGAAGAGGTGCCCTTCTGGAAGTCGGAATGCGAAATCTGAGTCTCGGCGACAGCCTGAATGTTGGGAAGAAGATTCCGCCGCTTGGTGGCGAGAACCTCATGAGGAAGCGGCACAGACATGATGAATCAATTGATCAGAAAGCGCAGAGGGGTGTGAAGTTGAAGAGGAAGAGGAGGGAAGAATGAGGAGCACGGAAGGTTAAGTATGTGAGAAGGAAGAAAGACGCGTTGGAAAGGAGTGGCCTGTTCGGGTGACCTCCACGCGTGAGACTGTGAATCACGACCAACCTTCGCGGGCAACAAAAGAACCGTTCAGCACCGAAGCAGTTGAACGGCCGACCTTCTCTTTTCACACCCACCGCACAGGTAGCACTCTGCCTCTTCTCTTTGTGCAGACAAAGCCTGAACTCACTTTGTTCCCTCCCGCCTCTTCACAAACCAACTGATCAAACCACAAATGCCCTTTTGTTCGTTTCGCACAACCATAATCGACGCTTGAACAGACGAGAATCCTTTGTCTGATGACCCTCGGATCAGGACGAATCCAGTGACCAGTTTCATTGCGACCCCTACACCTCTTCGAAGATCACCACTATAAAGAGCATCGAGTCCTTCCACATTTGATCAGACAAGACGACACCACAACTACATCACATACCCGCCACGAAGACGAAAAAGAACCGCGATACCCTGATCTATACCCCACGAGTCATCAAGATGCCACCAAAGACCGCATTCTTTGCCCCCAAGGGCCCTCGCAGGTACATGAGCACACGGCCGAAGCAAGCTTACCTGGTTGCCCGGGTCAAAGGCGTTGGCGGGCAAGGAAGCTTCCTTGAGAAGGACGAGACCATCGCTGACACAATTCCCGAATTATACGACAACGAACAACCACCATTCTTCCAGCCTCGTGAGGAATGGGACCACTGGGACCCGGCAACCTTCGAGTACCCTTGCACAACGGACGATCGGCAATTGATCAATCGAAAGCTGGGTAAGACTGAGCTCCAGCGAAGCTACTTCGAGAACCCAACCTTCGATATCTCCTGGGCGGACCACGTTGAAAGCCTTTGGTGTCTGCACCAGGATCTGGCTTGCGACGACAAGATGCTGCTTAATATCTCGATTGGAGGAGTACTGCGGATGCTCGCGAATGGGCTTGAGAAGGTCGTTACAGTCACCAGGTGCGAGATTGAGATCCCCGGGAAGGAGTCAAAGTGCAATTCCCATTGGAATACCCCTACGCCATACCTGCCAGATCATTACGACCGGATTAAAGCCTACTTCGACATGGGGTTCTACGGGCCCAGGAGATGGCGTGAGTCCCTTATCGGGAAGAGATTCTTCGCTGGCTTTGTCCGACACCGATACAATAGCCACTTCACAACCTTCATTTGGGATAGGAAGAAGGCAGACCTCTACCACTTTGATACCCTACCAGATGATCAGATGATTCGAGCGAAGAACGTCTCCCTTGCCTGGAGAGAGCACCTTGCAGTGGCCGGACAACCTTACGACTTCAACTTTCACGCAATCCCACTGACTCCGCAACGGGGAGCCTGGGAGTGTGGCCTTTTATCTTCGTTTTGTCTCTTTCAGACCCTTAGAGGGTTAGTAGGATTGAGTGCAGACGCACTTGCCCAACTTTGCCCCCCCACGACCCTGGAGATCGACGGAGAGGAGAACGAACCAGTGGGATCATTTGATCTATTGGTCCGTGACTGGATGCTAGACTCCTGGACCCGCGTGGGAAAGTCCAAGGATATCGCATACGACGACAATGTGGAAGTGATCAAGGGTATTTTTCAGACCATGATCATTGACGAGATCGGGATCCAAGACGGCTACTATTTGCACAGAACCGGAAGAGGACCTTTTGCGAAGCACCAATCGACCTACGCAGACGAAGTCAAGTACAAACCAAGCTTCCCCGACGAATTGAGAGCCACAGAATGGCTCTACACTGACATGGGAGGTTACATGCCCGCAGAGCCGGAATCCATCGGTACTGTTAGCAACTGGACGATTGATCGCTTGATCCCAGCCCCAACGATAAATCCTGGCGACAAGGCACTTCTTCCGCGAGGACCTGGGCCATTATCAGCCATTGTCATGGCTCCGGTCCTTGCAGACATGCCTGATGATCTGATCAGATGGTACAAGCGCCAGGACTTCGAAATCAAGGACAATGTGCCAATTTTTGAAGGCGGGGAACTCATCTCGTCGGATTCTTCGTCGAGTTCTGAAGTACCCGACCCGGGGTCGAAGGCAGCGGTGAAGAAGCCAGTGAACCCAGTGTCGAACCGCAAGAAGCAATTGATCAAACTCCCACGATTCCCCCCGTCAACAGCGTCAACGGCGACAGGCAAGCCTGTCACCCCGGCACCTCCCGAGAAGACGAAGGACCCCTGGACTCCGAGCGGGCCTCTGAAGTCCCTCTCGCTGGGCACCCCGAAGCGCCCACGCCCCTCCTCGAAGAGTAGCTCTGAGTACGTGCAGTCGAGCTCGTCGTCAAGCTCTGGAGGAAAGGAATCTAAGCCAGGGGCTCAGGGAGGCGACGAACCAGTTGATCAAACGATGACAGGTTATGGTTGGGGCGAGTGCAAGGACGGGCGGCCCTACGTTGCTGATATTGTACCTGACATTCGGGGCGCCGAACAGTTTACTTGCTCGACTTTGGAGAGCGATGATGAATGCACTCCGGCAAAGAGAACAGTGGGCCCGGCCACGAAGATCATGTCGACATTTCCAGGGTTGAAAGGCTGGCTTGGGGAGGTAGGAAGCCGGCCTACGCAGCGACTGCTGACTGGGAACTACGCAACTTACGTGCCAGCGGGTCTTGTGAGACCGTCCCAGTGGGATGACATTATACGAGCAGCCGCGCAGCCATGGGCCCCTGCCACGGCTTCGAAGGAGAGCAGGGACGAGAGAATGAAGAAGCGGCAGAGAAGCCGAGGCGAATGATCAAATGGTTCATGAGCACTCTAGTGGGTAGGAAATCGAGTTGGGGAGGTCACGGGCCAAAACAGGCGAAAGAAGTGTCTGGGATTGACGAGGCTTTTGGGAACCGTGAGGACAGGTGTCAAAGCCTCGTGGGGAGCTGTGAGTTGGGGGAGAGGCGTGCTAGGCCGTTTTGGGCCATTGGGCAATTTCCTGTACGTAGAAAAGGGCCAAGGCCGCGGCCCTGACCATCATCACCATCATCTTCTTCAAGGATCGGATCAAGAACGGGGAGCTTAAGGGCTCTTTTCTTGAGAAGATCTTCATCACTATCAATTGATCATTTGCCCTTATTATTTCATATGGTATTCAATTCACGAGAAAGTACGTGAAATCTCTTTTTCGAAAGTCATCAGAAGAAAGTCATACAAGAAGTTTTGGCTGTGGTTGGTGTGTTCTGTTTCTCCAACAAATTATATATCTTCACGATAGTATTTAATATGGAAATAGAGAACTCTTACTAAAGGAAAAGGCTCTGCTTTATATACTATACGCATTGAGGCGATTCACTTATACCGCGATAGCTATAGTAATATGAGGGGGCATTATCTATTCTTTACGGCCACGGGCAGACTCGTGCCTTGCTAATAGATAATATATCGTGTATTGAATAAGTATATATATGAAGAATTATCCCTTTCCTTTAATTATATATATAAATAGTGTTGTTATTAATTAAAAAGGGATCGTTATGGCATATACACATATGCCTCTTATATAACCGATCTTATTTATATGCCTCGAGCGTATAGTATATCACGTGACCTTATTTGTACGCTCGAGCGTACATGTATGAGGGGCCCAAGCACACAATGCTTGAAAAAGGTCAAGTAGCTAGTATTACCCAGAGAATTGAAAGTAATGAAATATAACAAATATGTACATATCCAAACCCCCCTCTACATCTCGAAAACACCATGAGCACAATATCAAGATCCCCCACCAAATCCTTCGTACGAAATACGAAAAACCCCACAAACTCTCCTCTCACCCTTCCAAAACCACCGGAAAATGAAATTCATCTTGCACTTTCCAAGCCTTGCCCCGCGAAATGCAACGTGGTGGCTTTTTCCAAAGGTGTGGATTATGGCCTGATGTTTTGACGCTCTACCCCTGCCCGGATATAATCCACGTCTCAAGGATTTATTCCCCCTGGGAAATGTATAGATAAGATCTCATGACGCAGGAGAGTAGCATCACGGAGTTGTACCTCCTTTTTTTTATTGCTGTTCAAAGATCAATGCACGACACGCATGGTCAGCACATGGCTTCTCCAGGTGGGGTGATTGACAAGGCGCCGCGAGTCTGGAATCGCGAGATGCCGACCGGGGAAGGCATCCAGGCCTGCCGATTGGAAAGAGGATGGCAAGGCAAGGGGATGTGACTTTATTCAAGGTTGAGATGGCGATGGTTAAACATGAGTTAGGCTGACGCTTGTTAAGGGGAGGATGAGCGGTGACGGGGATACTCTGTGATGACACAAGAGTCAAAACTCGTGATATTGGGTCGAGACACGAGATCTGTGGGCTATTCACGGTGAGCACGTCAGGCATCGGTGACTGGAGAACCAAGGATTCGGCACCCTAGAACTCCGCGGACATGAGGCTGAACGTGAGCCATCGTCTCGGTGCTCGGACATGAGAACCCTCCCCGAACCCGGAGATGCTCATCTGATAACCAGCTTATCAATCAGCAAACACATCACATGTATCACATGTTGTGGCGACATTCTCTTGCGTTGTTGAAACATTTGACATTTCATGCTCCCGTGGCTAATAGTTACAGTTGGTTCACAACAACTTCTCTCATTTCCCCCTCTCAACTGCACGCTGTCCCCGTAAAATGCATTCGTCTCAACCGTTCCCCCCGGTTCCCCTGTAGAGCCGATCACTCCTTGTGTGATTCAAGCAAAAGTAAACATTTGAACCCCTGACTCCCAAAGTAAAAGTTCCCAAGTGTGCGCGAGAAAAAGAAGGAGAGATGAGATGGGGGCCTCCATCTGATGCAGCCGATGTGCACTATTCGCCTGGCCGGCGAGTTCCCTCTCCTATGTGTAGTCTCATGCTACTTTTTTTTCATCCAGCCTCAGTGAGGGTATCATTCCAGTAGTTCCCAATCGTAGCGACGACGGCGACATGTGATATATGTTGGGTCGTATGTGCGCGCATGTACGCTTAGGCGGTGGCGGCGGCAGGCTCGGCAGTGGGCATCTTCATGCCGGTGCCGCTGAGGTTGCTGATCTTGGCGTTGGGGTTCTTGGTGTAGTAGTCTGAGATGGCAGACTTGATGGCATCCTCAGCCAACATAGAGCAGTGGACTATATATCAGAGTCAGTGAGCTGTGAGTGAGATATGCCGCAATTGAGCGACAACGTGAGTGATATGAGGGTATACATACGCTTGACGGGGGGTAAGCAGAGCTCCTTGGCAATCTCAGTGTTCTTGACCTTGCCAGCCTCATCCAGGCTCATGCCACGGACGAGCTCAGTGAGGTAGGAGCTGGAAGCGATAGCCGAACCGCAGCCGAAGGTCTTGAACTTGACGTCCGAGATCTTCTGGGTCTCGGGGTCGACACGGATCTGAAGCTTCATGACATCGCCGCAGGCGGGGGCGCCGACGAGGCCAGTGCCGACATCAAGATCCTTCTTGTTCATGGATCCGACATTTCGGGGTCGCGAGTAGTGGTCGAGCACCTTCTCATGGTAGGAGCGAGAGGCGTTGACGGCGACGGCGGGAGCGAGCTGTCGCGCAGGAAGGGCAGGGCGGACGAGGGGAGCAGCGAAAGCAGCCCGCCGCGAGACAGCGCGAAGTCCTCGAGAGAACATTGTGAATATATGAGTATGTGGGTGAGTGTGCGAACGGGATATGTGCCGAGAATTGACAGAGGAGAGCTGCGCTTGATCCGACGGAAAGGAGTCGAGGGAGTAGCTGCAGTAGTGTAGTCTGTGAATTAGGATCGGAGTGAATTCGACGAGTTGTCGTTGATATGGTCGGTGCAAAGTTGGTGATGCAGGATCCAAGTTTGTCGGGAGGCGAAAGGGCAAAAAGGCGATGACGGAGGGAGGAATTTCAGCTTCTCAGAAGGCGTCCGGCTTTGCTCAAAAAAAGAATGCGGGACTTGCACAGGATGGCGATTTCGGCCAATGCATCGCGGTGGTGTGGGTCTTTACTCAGCCAATCACCAAGCTTCGATTGCTCGGCCATTACGTCTTTGCTGGCTCGGTCCTCCTCGGAGAAGAGAGCCAGAGGAAAGGTAACGACCCACATCGCGCTTCCCCTCTCCTCTTTCCTCTCCCAGTTGTTTTACTCTAAGAGGAATAGTCTTGCGGCAATGTCAGTCTTTTCTCCATTTAGTTAGACCTCCAGTATCTGATTGGAGGGGAAGGGGCAAGCGTGGCGGGGAACACGGACCCAGCCTGCATCTGATAAGATGGGCTGTGGGAATATTGTGGATGCAAACATTTGTCATGACTTGCTAGACGAATCACCGCCCGTCGCAGCTTCGGAGCACCGCATCCCTGGCCGTCCTCAGAAACCCGCTATTCACCGGTATCTTGCGCCGTGGTCCCTCCAACCCTAACGATGATGATCGGTCGCGGATCTGGCCAAATGGAAGTCGGCGATAGTTAATAGAGACGGTCACGTTCAATGCCAATGTCCCAAGTGTAAGCGACCTCGGTACTCGTTCTCCGAGGAGTTGTGCTCTTCAATAACGGTTACACACCTTTATCAGATAGATAAGCCCTACCTCTACAGATACAGATTGATAAGTCGGCATCCATCCCGTCCTCCGTCCGCGGGGGAACGACCACGTCCGCGGGGAACGGAGACACGGTATTGCTCCGGGGGCAGGGGAGATGCAGACGACACAAAAACTAGGATTTAATGATTATATTCAGAGATGAGGCTCGATTTTTTTTTCCCTCTGTTCCCTGTCCCAAGGTTCAACGACAGGCCTCGTCGGTGGATCTCGGCCGTTCGGCGCAGCGAATTCGCCGGTCGCCCAATTCACGGAGTCGGTGTTACGGCGCCGGACATAACACGGAAGCCACGGATGACAAAGTCAATGGCGAATACAACAATTACGTTGCGTGGCCAATGCTCGAATTTACCGAAGGATGACATCCTTTTCACATGAACAAAAACCGTTGCAAACCTGGTCTTTTTCCCATAAAAAAGGTCGGTAAATACTAGCGTTCGGTCTTGGCTCGCCGGACCCTCGGGGATACCCCCAGACGATGGAATTCGGGGCTATCCTCCGGCCAGCCGGCATTTGTCCTAGAGACAAGCCTTTCCCTGTCCGGATCCATGCAAACGCAGATGGGGTATCATGCAGTTATCCCTGGAGCTCCTAGTCTGACAGCCAAAGATTTGAAATACTAGCCTGCAGGTTTGTTTCGCTTGACTATTCGCTTCAACGGACTATTCTCAAATGTTGGGCCGAATCCGTGCCTTGGCTAAAACATATCGCTCTTCTCCGCTTGGCGCATCTCAACCCGAACTTTAAAGTCCAGCGGCTTCACGAACCAGTAGTTTTGCGTGTGCCACTTCTCCCGCTGTAGCGATGGATCAAGCCCAAAGTCAAAGTCTCGAACAATTCGGGGGATGAGCTTGGACATTTCAAGCATCGAAACATGTCGCCCAATGCATGTTCGAGAGCCCAGTCCGAACTGTGCGAAATGTCAGAAGGATCATCAATGCATGTAGTTGGGGCTCTTACAGGCATATAATAACGGTTCATTATGGATAGTCTTGCTGCATCGTCCACTAACCATCGATCGGGGTTGAATGTCTCGGCATCATCACCAAAGACTCGATGATCGCGGTGTGCTACCCAAGTGTTGATGCCAACTGTGGTCTATATCATGATTGACTCGTTAGTCTCTTCTCATACAGTACCAGATCGTCGCGTTGACTCACGCCTTCTGGGAAGAATCGTCCGGAAATCGTTGCTCCTCCTTCAGGGACCACGCGCTCCAGTGGTAGTCCCGTGGCGGGATGCATCCGCAACGCCTCCTTGATGACGGCTTGAAGATATGGCAGCTGCTGGCTCTCCTTGAATGTTGGCGATTTAGACAGGCCTCCCTTGGCAGTTAGGCCATCAATCTCGTCCCTCAGCTTCTGCAGACAGGCAGGGTGCTTAAGTAGATAGTAGAGGACTGCTGAAAGGCTGATAGCCGTGGTATCAGAACCTGCCACCATATTTGATGTACACCCAGCCAGTACATGAAAAGACGTAAAGACATCCGGGTCGGCTGCATGCTTTGCCAAAAACTTGGTGAGAAAGTCTTCCATGGTGACTGCGCTCTCTTCAGCCACAGGCTTGGGAGTGACCTGCGCTTCACGGATTCTCTCGTTAGTAAAGCTCAAAACATAAGCTCTTCCGGCACCTTTCGCGCCTGCAAGGTAATTTTTCAGAGGGAATAGATATCGGTGCAAGCTTGGGAAGATGCCAACGAGCGTAGCATAGCCCAGGTGCTCTTCCAACGCGCTGATGACACCTCGAATATCGTCACCACGATCTAAAAAGCCAAGTCTTTTGGCATAAGTGATCAAGCCGATGACATCAAACGCGTAGCACTGGAACCAATGTCTCATGTCCACAAGCATATTGGACCTTGACATCTCTGCGAGTCGCTGTGTGAAGAGGTCGGAGCATTCGTCTACAAAGGGCTCGTAGTGAACCAGAGACGACATTGCATAGGTCGCTTGATAGAGTCTTCGGTTTTGGGCGTGGCGCTTGATTGACTGATCACTGAAGATGGCCCATTGCCCAGGGCTTGCCCATGATGAATACCATGATGACTTGGGGAAGTGGTTGCCGAGGCCGTAGATGATCTTGGCTGCTTCTGGGTCGTTGAAGCTGTAGCGGTTTGGGCCGTAGCGGACAATTGTTCCTGTAGCAAACTCTCAGCGTCGAAGGCTGAGATGAAAGTCCAAGTGAGCCTACCGTATTTCTTGTGTAATTCCACATTTACATCCTGAAAAGACCCTTTCCGGACGTTCCAGAAATACCAGCCATCGGTAAATCGTGCCAGAAACGGACCTGGCACAGTCCGAAGCGGGGATCGGATAAACTGAACAAGGAAGCGGACAAGAAACGCGATGAAAAGGACGGAGAGTACATATATCGAGATTGAGGACTCCATAGTAGCAGTCAAGTTGAAGGGCCAAGACCAGATAGACCAGAGCAGAGTTCAGTTCAGTTCGTTATTGAAGATACGATGACGTTCACAACTTGTATCAACGCATTCGGTACAATTTACCAATCATGGCCTTGCCGATCTCCTCTGCCGAATACTTTGGAGGTGGTGATCCCGGAGTGTTCCCTCGAGCTCCTGCGGGGTTGGCTGCCACTTCGGAGAGAAACGCGGGGGGTAGCTCAGCGTCTGACCAACAGGAACAAAATGATATGAAATGAAAAGAGATTGCTCAGTTCTTGAACATGTTTCCTTGTTATAATGCTTGCTTGACCCCGCAAATTCGTGGCGTTTTTTCTACGATCGGCTCGGGAAGTGGACGAGAATCTGGGGTATCCGGGGCATTTGTGGACATTGACCCGAGTTCACAATAGCCCATACTTACTTACGTTGTGTTGGCTCATCCGATGAAACCTTCTATTCCCATGAGGCCTTCAGAAACAATTATAATAATTCATGTTTCTTTAGCTCGTCGAGATTTACTTACTTTATTTCTTGCCCAGTTGTTGCGACGGAATGAGATTGTCCGCCTCAACATCACCAGGCTTGTAACTTACTCTCTCACACAAACAGCCTTGTTATCTACACAAGATTGCAAAGCAACTTTATGTGATTTTTAGGGAATACAGCACAATAGTTCCCACATGGCTTCAGAAAGACCTAATTTAGTTTTTCTAGTCATGCAAGACCCTTACTATAGAAACTGCAGCAGTGCCAAGAGCCAGGTAGTGAAGCTAATAAGGCGTTTCGGCTTACACGAGCATAATCTCAAACTTCTGCATTCTTGTTCCACGAGAATTAAATCAGCTAAGCTATCATTAAAATTTCACTTATGGCTGCGAGCGGCGCTGGGCTTGTGTCATTACGATTGTAATGTAATGGAGCAGATAAACTCGAGCAGGGATACTATCCACTGTGGCCTGCGAAAGACTGTTACTACGCAAACTAAACAAGATTCCAACATAGCCATAAAGTGGTGGCCATAAAGTGGTGGCCATAAAGTTATGACTTACTAAATGTCTGGTAGTCGGGTGCAATTGGCCTCCCATCTGACATACCAAAGACTTGACTTACTTGAGAACATCTCGAATGGCTTGGCCCAGCATCCTCCAAGATATGTTACTTTGAGTGGAGATTCCCTTTCTTAATTGCATACATAAAATATCATGCTCCTGAAAGATTTCTCGAAAACCCATATCGAAATTACTTATGATCTTCTCCCCTTTCCCCCCCTTCCTATCATTGTTCCTTTGTGTTCGTGGATGTTTTAGCACTTTCTGAGTGATAAAGTACAACTCAAGCTCCACCCAATGTTATTCATTGAAGAAAAAAAAGTGTTCAAAATCAGATGAGCTATCCTTGCCACCAAGAAGCTTAAATACCCGATATGACTTCTCAACATCATGCATTTGGAATCAATTCGACGCTCATAAGCCTGGAAGAGCCGGTCACCCTGGGGTGCTAACCTACCCCAGACCAGTCAGGGTCGGCTGCCGCAGCCATGCGTGAGCTGACTGACCAGCGAGAAAAACGCACACTTCCAGTTGGACTTTTTCCATTCATGTGATACATGACACGTAAAATGTAACCCTTCAGGAGGACAAGACCTCATGAGCGAATGTTCCAGTGCCATCTTGCATACAGAGATCTGGTACGCCACACCCGCGCCACAGGTCGATGCAGGTTCGTGGCTAAAATGCCCCGCCTTTACTAACACTTCCCCAGGCAGAACCGAGCTCCAGTGACGTGTGCTACCGCCCATCGCTGAGCTTCCCTCGTGGCTAAGGATTGATTCCATTCAACATCGCCTACTTCACAGAGGATAACTGAAAAATTTCTTCTTTCCTCCTGTCACTCCTCTACCCCAAGCTGCAGAGAGAATAACCAGAGAAGCCCGCCTATCATGGCTTGCCCTCATCTCGAGTCGATCGGTACGTGAGCTCCTGAAAATGACCCCGCCATTTGATCTGCCGTTGATCGAGGCAGCTCTTTAGCGAGCTTCACGAACAACCTAGAGTTGGGATGAAGACGACTAACATTACCTCTAGGGCTCAACCCCCCTACGCCAGCTCAATCTGTCTATCGCGAAGACTGTACTCAGTGTTTTGACTCGATTGTAAGACCTCCCACTCATAGCTTTACGTCGATCCTTTGCTTCGGTTCCCATCTTGTCCAACGCCTGCTCACCTCAGAATCTGCAATAGGATGACCCCGCCGGCCTCGATGTCTGCCTCCAGTGCTTCAACGGCGGCTGCGCTGGCGACCGCATGCACAATAGACTCCACGCTGCCTTGAAAAGCCACCCTCTCACCCTCAATATCCGCCGAACTCGAAAAGTCGTCGAACGAGATGAGCCACCTGCCAAAATGTCCAAGCTGGCCATCGCTGCCGAGACCGAGGAGGATCGATATGACACTGCCTTGTCCGTCAAGTGTCTCGAATGCAATACCGAGCTCGACCGAACAAACCCGAAGCTCGCCCCCATGGTTGACAGCATTCTCAAGGCCAACACCTTTTCCCGAAAGGAGGAGGTCAAGGCTTGGGAACAGGAGTTGACTAGTTGCGAGCATATCCTGATGCTTCAGCAGCACCCTTCGCGAAAGATTGAACAAGGTGCCTTGGGCCATTGCTACGCATGCGACTTGAATGAGAACCTCTGGCTGTGCCTGGAGTGTGGCAACCTGGGATGTGGTCGCAAGCAGATGGGCGGTGTTGATGGAAACTCGCATGCTCTGGCTCACTCGAACGAAGCTGGTCACGGAGTTGCTGTCAAGCTCGGATCCATCACTCCAGAGGGTACCGCAGACATCTACTGCTACAAGTGCGACGACGAGCGAGTCGATGACAACCTGGGCGAACATCTGGCCCACTGGGGCATTGTACTAGCGGAGCGCCAGAAGACCGAGAAGAGCTTGACAGAGATGCAAATTGAGCAAAACCTCAAGTGGGACTTTAGCATGACGACCGAGGATGGCAAGGAGCTCGTCCCCCTTTTCGGCCCTAGCCTGACTGGCTTGAAGAACCTGGGAAACAGCTGTTATCTCGCCAGTATCACTCAGTGTCTTTTCGACATGCCCTCATTCCAGGAGAGATATTTCCGACCTAACGATGACCTTCCCATCGTACAGGATCCTGCAGAAGACCTTGAGACTCAGCTACGAAAGTTAGCCGATGGACTTTTGTCTGGCAGATACTCCAAGCCCGATTCCGACGTTGGGGGAGATGGCATCACCCACCAGAAGGGATTGGCGCCGGCCATGTTCAAGCATCTCATCGGCCGAGGACATGAGGAATTCTCCACCATGCGACAACAGGATGCATTTGAGTTACTGCAGCATCTCTTCAAGCTCATCACCCGATCTCAACACCAAGGTGGTCTCAAGGATCCTACAGAACCATTCCGTTTTGCCCTTGAGCAGCGTCTTCAGTGTTTGGGCTGCAAAAAGGTTAGGTATAGCAGCACTGAGCAAGACAACATCTTTATTGATGTTCCTCTGGAAAAGCTCCCCGCCGAGGAGGGCTCAGATGGCCCAGCAGCTTATAAGCCCGTGACCTTGAAGGAGTGTTTGGACAACTTTACGGCTACCGAGAAGGTCGAACTGACCTGCTCTGCTTGTGGAAGCAAGGATGGCTTTGTCAAGCGATACCTTTTCAAGACCTTCCCTGATACCCTGGTTGTCAACGCTCGAAAGATGACGGTGGTCAACTGGGTTCCGATCAAGGTGGATGTGCCAGTCATCGTGCCCGATGAGCCTTTCCCCTTGGATAGCTATCTATCACAGGGGCTCCAACCCGGAGAAGAGCAGCTGCCTGATGAACCAGAGGCCAAAGCACCAGCCTTTGAACCCGATGCGACAGCGCTGGCACAACTGGAGGCCATGGGCTTCCCTCGTAACCGATGTGAGCGTGCTCTGCATGCTACCGGAAACTCGGATGCCAACGCCGCCATGGAGTGGCTCTTTGGGCATATGGAGGACCCCGATATTGACGCTCCTCTGGATCTTGGTGGACAATCTGCCGGAGGTGATACTGCTGATCCTGAAAAGATTGAGATGCTTGGAGCCATGGGCTTCGGCGCTCCTCAGGCTAAGAAGGCACTGAAGGAGACAGGCGGTGACGTCGAGCGCGCTGTTGAGTGGCTCTTCAGCCACCCAGATGATCAGGGAACCTTTGACGATGACGCGCCTGCTGAAGGGGCCACATCGGCGTCAAAGGAGCCTGCCGGAAGTGCAACACTGCCAGCAACTTTCCAGCTTCGGTCGATTGTGTGCCACAAGGGCACAAGTATCCATGCTGGGTGAGTGATGACTTGTGCACACACCTAGAGAAGACTAGCTAACTGCATCTAGACACTATGTCGCCTTTATCCGCAAGGCGTTGGGTGACGCCAACACCCCAACCTGGGTGCTCTTCAACGATGAGAAGGTGGTGGAAGCGCACGACGTTGAGGAGATGCGCAAGTTTGCCTACGTGTACTTTTTCAAGCGGGTCTAGTCGAGACGTAGTATCATGAGAATTGGGTGATGATTGTGACGAGGCGTAGACGGTTTTGCTGATAGGCTGGATGGTTGCATCGAGACGGTGAATGGCGTGTTGGTGATGAAGGGACAAGAGTCAGGATGAGGTTCATGGCATCAAAATTTGAGATGACCATATTTAGACAGACTTGTAGAAGCAAGAAAGACAATTCGCGAGGATAGTTGATATTTGCTGTGTGGATTAGACGGCAGAATATCCTTATTATCTCATATCGTACATCTATCGCTGCCGTTGAATGTTTGTATAAAAAGCCATAACGTCCCTCGCGCCTTGAAACGCCTTCCAGGCCACTCCCTGGAGTATACCAAAATCCTTTGAGCCAATTGTATCCCCCTCTTAATTCGGGAGCATCCTCCTCATTACTTGGATACATCGTACCTCGCTATTCCGTAAAGCGATAGCTCACCAAGGTATCAACGCGATGGTTGGCAGTGCTGAATCCCCTCAGCTGCACCTTTTCGCCGTTCTCAATCTCCTTTGCGTCCGAGTCACCCCACTCGACGGGCACCTCACTATCGGCGTCGGCGTAGACGAGCACGTTGAAGGTGCAGTCGCCGTTGAGCTGGGGGAGGAAGGTGACGGAAGCGGTGATCTGGCGGAAGATGGCGGCGATCTCGGACTGGATCTCGGTCTCGGTCTTTTCGGCGGCGAGGGGGGTAGCGCCAGCAGAGGCTGCGTTTTCTTGATCGGCCGAGGAGGACTTGGATTTGGACTTGGATTTTGTCGGCTTAAAGATTTGGACCTGGAGATGGGTTAGATGTGTTGGGGATAGGGGGTATAGGTGTCGTACGTCGAATTGCCAGCGCTCAACGTGTTCGCCTGTGTCTTTGTCTGTAATGACGATGACGAGCTTGGAGATCTTGCCGCCGACCATCCACTTGTCGAGCTGGGACATGATCTTTTTGATGTAGGCCTTTACTTGGTCATCGGCCGAGACTTGTTCGGGTCAGTTGGAGCGGGACGAGTAGGATATCGAGGAAGCTGTACCTAGCATGTTGAGGCCATATTTCTTGACGCTGGCAAGAGTTAGTCTGAGTAAAGAATAAGGGGTAGAGGAGGACGCACGCTGTAAAGTCTTCGGCTGGGTAGACTCCTCGTTGGAAGCTGCAAGCTGGTTAACGAAAGAACCAGGTATCGTTGTAAGGTTATGCGCATACAGGATGGTATGAATTGAGTATTGGAACTATTACCAAGCCGCAAAGTTAGTGATGCGCATTGCTAAATGTGACCTTTATGCAGACGTACGAATTCGGCAACCAGTCGGGCGCTACCCTTGAGGGAGAGCTTGTGGACTTTGGACTTGTCCTTGTCCTTGCTCTTGGACGCTTCCTTTGATGACATTTTTTCTGCGTTGTAGAGGGAAGTGTCGGTATCAAGGGCGTCAAGCTGGGCGGTTTCTTTGGGTTGATGGCGGGTTGGAGTTTGGGGATGGTCGGCTTTGTTTACTTGCGGTTGCGGGGTGGAAAAGGGACCAGATGGTCTGTGCGGCGGGGTTCACCGAGCTCACCGAGATTCACCTTGAAACAGGAGACATGAGTGTGAATTTGAGCAATTACAGATGCAGCATTAACTAGACCTTGCCGAGTAGTATACGCTAGGAGGCCACTGAGGCAGATGCGGCCAGTAATAATCCCAACCATATTCACCATAATCAACAAACCGGCCATAGTACTCCTCCATTGGATCAATGCTGCTCGTTGCAACAGAAGTCGACCACGAATCATCCCAATCCTGCTCTTGATTTCTGTCGCGGATGACCCACAGGGCCCATGACCTGAAGAACAGCCCAATGCTGAGAAAGAAGGGAATCAATTGCGCCAGTGTCTCAAATTCAGTGACATTGTCGATGTGATTCCAGTAAATGGGGAGTTCGATGGCGAGAACCAAAAGGGTAAAGACAACAAGGCCTGATACTACACGAAGAATGCGAAGACGCTTGATGTGCTTTCTTCTAGAGACGGTCAGTGGGGCTAGCTATCAAGTGTGAGTATGAATGTCCTCACCTGATCCTCCGTTGAGTAGTGCTCGAAGTGTCCGGAGCATCGCAACATGAACCTAGAAAGATGAAGCCCGCGAGCATTACAAGAATGCCAATGTAAAATATGGCACTTGCAATGACATAGCCCCTATTCTCCAAGTCCACCTTTCCAAGCACAAAGACAACCTCCCAACAATCACGATCCAACCGCGGCAGAAACGTCGTATAATACCATGCCCCCATGGCTGTGTTGCCCGCCAGGATCGTCACTGTCATCAAGTTGTAAAACACCCCATGATCCTCCTCTGATAGAAAGAAGGGGTCTAGATGAGGCTGACACCTCGTGACAAGCTGCCAGGTGCGTAACGGTATGAGAAATAGGAAGAAGCCCATGGCGAAGAGAAGAAGGAAGTACACATCGAGAGGATGGAGTTTCCCCTGTGCCGCGCCAATGATGAGGGCTGTCAGTGCCGCAGCGGAGGAGAATACGCTGATGAAGCGCATGTCCATGAGGTGTTCTTCCGAGAGGAGCTCGATTATGAGGGAGCCGAGCCATTGGATATAGAATGCAGTGCGGATGCCAACGCCATATAGTTCTGGCCGGCCTGGAAGTAAGCAAAGATTTGAAATATTCTCATCCATGGGATATAAAGAGCAGCTGCATCAACTTGAGACAAAGAACCCAGGCCAGGGTGCAGATGGCTGGGGTCTGGTATACACTTGTATGTCATCTTCCGTATTGGCGACATATTGCAAGCTCTCATATGCGCTGCTATGCTGCAGAGAGCAAGATAGACATGTGCATGGCAGCTTCCACGACTGACGGGCCGATGCGATTCAGAGGCAGTCCGACACTAAATGCCAATAGAGCACTTGCTCGCGAGAGGCGTACATGAACAACTGCGGCGCTATCACTTGGTGGGGCCAGAGTCTCCAGAACCGAGCTTCTTGTTTGAGGTGCGTGAAAGCCTAGAACCCTGAGCCTTCATCCTGATAATCTCGTTAACAAAGCGGGCGAAGGTCTGCCGTTCCCAGAGTCGACGTTCCAGCGGGAAGATGCATTCACGGAGAGGCCTTGTGACAGCTCCCTAGGTATGACACCATGCCATTCTCGGGTGCCGACTTAAGTGACAGATACGGGGCATTGTTACGCATTCGAGAGCCCCAGAGTTGCGGATTCTCGTCGTTGAAGTTGTAGGTTCCTAGACTCAAGACACAACAGGGCACACGTGTCGCGGAGTGCGTGAACTGTGAACCCAAGCCGGTCGCGTCGTGGGGTACGGTGAGAGTAGAGCAAGGCAGCCGATGTAGCATCTGTGAGAACAGGCAAGTCTTTGCTTAGACAAGTCAACGATGTCTGACTATTCTTGTCGATATCCAAGTCTGGCACTCCGGGAGAGGAGGACGGCGAGGAGGTACGTACCTGTCCGATCGGCGGTGGAAAGTGGGCCCAGATAACGGCTCGCTTATCGATAAGAAACTTTTTTTCTGCCGCTCCAAGAACAATCCCACGCAGTTTTTCGCGGCGCATCCTTCTCTGCGACAACTCGACCGCCTTTCAATAGATTCCTCCACCAAAGGAATTTACCCTCTTTAACAATGGCTGCAACAAAGCATCTCCTCGCCGAGAGCGAGGAGAACGGCGTCGACCGCCCCTCCAAGAAGACCAAGATCGCCGACGCCGACGAGAAGGCCCGCTTGAAGAAGGAGAAGAAGGAGCGCAAGGAGAAGAAGCGCAAGACAGAGGAGGAGGCTGCTGAGGCTAGCGCCGAGAAGGCTGAAGACTCCGAGGCTGAGCGCGCTGCTGAGAAGGAGCGCAAGAAGGCCAAGAAGGAGAAGAAGAAGGAGAAGAAGCTCAAGGCTGCTGAGGCTGAGGTTGAGGAGTCTACTGAGCAGAATGGCGATGTCTCTGAGGAGGCTCCCAAGGAGAAGAAGTCTAAGAAGGACAAGAAGAAGTCCAAGTCTTCTTCTGTGTCGAATGGCGACGCCTCCGGCAAGGGCGCCTACTCTCAGACCATCAGCCTCTCCAGCGTTCCCCAAGCCGACATTGACAACTTCCTCTCCACCAACCAAATCGTCATCACCGACCCCAAGTCCGAAACCGTCTCCCTCCGACCTGTCCTGGAGTTCTCCCACCTCCCCGCCACGAACCTCCTCGAGAAGAAGCCTTCGCCTTTCGCCAACTACAAGACCCCCACCCCCATCCAGGCCGCTTCATGGCCCTTTACTCTGTCTGCCCGTGACGTGATAGGAGTTGCTGAGACGGGTTCCGGCAAGACCATGGCCTTTGCGCTGCCTTGTGTTGAGGCTGTTTCGGCAATTGGCGGAAAGAGCACCAAGGCGGTTATTGTTTCGCCTACGCGAGAGCTTGCCATGCAGACCCATACTCAGATGGCTCAGGTCGCTGCTTTGAACGGTCTCAAGTGCGTGTGTCTCTTTGGAGGTGCCTCCAAGGATGACCAGCGTGCGCAGCTTCGTCGTGGTGCCGACATTATCGTCGCTACTCCCGGCCGTCTCAAGGACTTTATGTCTGATGACACCGTGGATCTTAGCCAAGCGGCCTTTGTCGTCCTCGATGAGGCTGACCGTATGCTTGACAAGGGTTTCGAGGAGGATATCAAGCAGATTCTGGGCAGCTGCCCTCCTCGTGAGCAGCGCCAGACGCTCATGTTCACTGCGACATGGCCCCAGTCGGTGCAGGCTCTTGCTTCATCCTTCATGGTCAGCCCCGTCAAGATCACCATTGGATCCAGTGGCAAGGAGACCGCGGGTGGAGCCGTCGAGTTGCAAGCCAACGCACGAATCTCACAAAGCGTCGAGGTTCTTGAGCCCAGAGAGAAGGAGTTCCGACTTTTGCAGCTCCTCAAGGAGCACCAGCAGGGCAAGCAGAAGAACGACCGTATCCTGGTGTTCTGCCTGTACAAGAAGGAAGCCACCCGTGTGGAGAACTTCCTGAGCCGCAAGGGAGTCCGCGTTTGTGGCATTCACGGTGATCTGCGACAAGAGCAGCGGACAAAGAGTCTCGAGGCGTTCAAGACTGGTGTGACTCCTGTTCTTGTTGCTACTGATGTTGCGGCCCGAGGTCTGGATATCCCCGAGGTCAAGCTGGTTATCAATGTTACAGTATGTTTTCTTTTTACACGTCTGCTAGCGGTTCTAACAGTTTTAGTTCCCCTTGACCATCGAAGATTACGTCCACCGTATTGGACGAACTGGCCGAGCTGGCAAGACTGGTCAGGCCATCACCTTTTTCACAGTGGAGGACAAGTCGCACTCTGGCTCGTAAGTATATGTACCCTCACATGTCGACCAATGACTTACACTCTGCAGTCTTGTCAACATCCTCCGAGGTGCCAACCAGCCCGTGCCTGAGGACCTCCTCAAGTTCGGAACCACCGTCAAGAAGAAGGCCCACGACATGTACGGTGCCTTCTTCAAGGACGTCGACATGAACCAAAAGGCCACCAAGATCACGTTTGATTAAGTTTATTTACGAAGCAACTATTGTTTGGTGGCCTTGCGACCACGGATAGAGTGCAGACACTCGAGGATAAAACGGCGCTCAAAGAACAAACTGCGATGATTAGATGTGTCCAAAAGTGTTTTTTTTTGTATGGGCTGTAGACATACATGAGGAGCAATAATGGGACAGCCGAGGCGGCGACTTTGATGAGAGATTTGATGGGTTGGTCTTCTGCGCTGTCGAGGACCTTGAGTTGCTTAAGAAGTATAGCCGTAGCAAGGGAGAAGGTCACTGAACCCTCCGGGAGCAATGTCTTGATTTCGAAATCGGTCCCGTGTTTCTTGAAGTATCGCTTGATGAATGCGCCGCTCCAGACGATGCGGCATGCCATGTTGATGATGTTGGCTAGCACGAGGCCGACGGCACCAAGAGGGAATACCCACATGAAGAGAAATGCCGAGGCAGCAAAGGCGACGGAGAATACGCCCATCCAACCAGATTGCTGGTGAACTTCTGCTTCTGTGGCGACGGATGCAACGAATGACTCTGTGAGGCCGTTGAGGGCGAGGAAGGGGATGTAGAAGCAATATGCTGCGAGTACGTCGCCAGCCCCTGAGCCGATCCATCGCTTGCCGGCCACGATGGCGAGGAGAGGTGGAGCGGCAAATGGCCCGATGTTGATGATGATAGATGAGAGAAGGATGTAGAGTCGGAGAAGAGTGCGGAGGTTCTGCTTTGCTTCATTCACAGCTGGCGAGGGCTTTGTAGATTGCTTTTCACCATCTCCAGTGGGAGGGCTTGCTGTAGGAGATGACAGGAGGCGGGAGAAGTAACTGCGGCTGCTCTCCTCTACCGGTTGAAAGAGTAGACGTGCTAGAAGACCGCCGTAGTTGTTGGCGAGGGCATATGCGCCTTGGACCTCGGCGGTGGCGAGCAGAGAAACGAGGAATGTGTCGCCTTGTGTTAGGAGATGCTTCACCACGCTCTGAGCCATCATGCTCCCAGCAAGACTCATAGTTTGCCGGTCAAAGTAGGATCCCCAGAAGCGGCCATCCTTGGTTGAAACAGCCTGGGGAAGAATAGAGAAGCCGATTGTAGAAGCAAGTTGATATCCAGAGATGAGGTAGACGAGGAGAAGAGATGCGCCATAAGTCATCTGGCCGAGGGCAAAGGGGAGAACACCAACATCTTTCTGCTGCTTCGATGCCCAAACAGCAGAACCAAAAACAACAATGCATCGTAGAAACGTGGCGATGGACTCTGCGGCTGCTCTCGTGCCAAACTGGAGACGCATCTGCATAAGGACAAAGCAAGGCTCAGAGAGAAGCTCAACCATTGCCGCCAGACCGTAGAGATACAGCGACTCGACGAGATACGGCGTTGAAACAGCTGCACCGCTCGGAAACGCGAGGTACATCCATCCTAGGACGAGACTCACAACGCTTCCTAGGCCAATGGCGAGATATCCGAGGTTCACGACAGCCTGGCTCTCCACCTTTGCTGTGTCGCTGGCTTTTGTGGTACTTGCCACTGTGCCTTGCCGTTGAATAGCCACGCGGAGACTCTCACGTGCGAAAAAGAGGACAGAGAGGTAGTAGACCTCCAACTGGGTTGATAGGCCTAGGAGTGGCGCGGTGAGGTAGCGCAGAAGGAGCTGGTTAGCGACAAAGGTGATGAGGCGCGATGCAAGCTGGAGGATGATGAGGAGAGAAGCGCCCTTGAGCATGGACGCGCTCTGAGGAGGCGAACCCGCATCTTGGGACTTTGTAGATGGTGACATCTTGAGCCTATGGTGAAAGGTGGCCGTGATGATGAGTTGAGGTTTGATGTCTTGAACACGTGGAGGCGCGATGGCTGTGGCGATGGATCCATGGTGTTTTGGGGCTTCAGTGAGTGACCGCTAATTTACAGGGCTTCCCCTTCTAAATTTTAGTGGGCTGCCATCCATGTCGCCGGGTCCATGTTCAACCTCAACCATGATGAAAATAACCCATAGACAATATCCTATGGCCTCTAGTTTTGATTTACATGAGATGTCTCTGTAATGTGTCACTCAAAGATACTTAGAGCATCCTCAGAAGCCAAATCCAAGTGGCATGAGTCTGTCTTAATAACCCGGGCGGGTTAAACGAACCGTCGAGTTACATAATGCCTTTGTGCTTCACCCGGTTACCCAAGAAGTCACCACCCGTGAATTTGATGTTTATGGTCTTGTGTCAATGGGACTTTTGTCAACTGAGTTCTAAGAATGTTGCAATCACTCCTAGGCAGAGAGGTTCATAAGCTCTAGCGGTCTATCGCGTGTGGCTTACGCCATGCATTGAGGCTCAACGCTCACCAGGGATAGGTAGACGACCCATTTTCTGGCCTCACTACAGGGATTGGTTTGACTTCAAGTATTAATTCCGTCGCATGTTTCTCTCACAAAGTATCTGACTGACGACGAGGCATATAAACCAGAACTCGCCTGACCATATTACCAATGCTCAAAGAACAGCAGAGTCAAAGCCTCTCTCGCTTCTGGTTAAGCGTTGTTTGCTGTTGGGAGACGTCAGACTGAAGGATCGGCGGTCTAAGCCATGATTTCCGTTCTTGGGGGCGGAAACCCCATAAATAGCACTCGACAACGCCACAGAGATGTTGAATTGCTTTCTGAATGGGTGAGTTGGTACTTGATCATGTCTCGTGACGTATTGATCTAGATTATCTAGACGCGTTGAAACAAAAAAGGACCCTTGAGTTATGGGCAAACACCAAAGCTGACGAGGTGAGATGAACATGGATCGTCGGTCGATGTCAGCGGCGATCCACCCTCTCGGGAACGATGGGCGATTTTTTACAAATGGAAATGGTCAGCGAGGATGAAGCAGATGGTCTCTTATTGTTTTGAATACCCTGGGCAAGGTTCGTGTAGTGTAACATAGGCTGAAACTCATCGTTATGAACCCATGATTGAGATCGGCATATTATCGACTTGACCTTATGAACTTCTTCTTCCTGTGATGCTATGCCTATCTATTGGAATGAATTCGATCTAGATTAGAGGTAAACAGGCAAACAAATTATCTATTTTTATATATCTTTCCATTCGCCTCTCGTCACGCACCTCAGCCTCTTTCTTTGTCGACCCTTAAACCCACAACGCGGAAACTCAGCCTTACATGTCCCCGATGGTCTCAAACCCCTGTCCAAGTTCCCTGTCATTTCCATTCCTAGACCTCTTTACTCAGCAAATCCTCCCTCCGCCTCAGAACTTGATTCGTTGAATTGTGTACTGACGAAAGCGGGCTTGTCAGAGCTCTCTCTCCCTTGCAGTAAAGACCAAGAGCTTGGGGCAAGACATTGTGTTTCTGTTTTTCCTCATCCGTCGTCTTTTTTCACTCCCCTTCTTGTTCTCATTCCTTTGAGTTGCTCCGTCACCCCCTGCTTGCGCCACACTTAGCAAACTGAATTGAGCGATCCCTGCGATTCCCACACCTTCGCAAAAGAAGTCTGACATGGGACCAACGCCTCAGCTTCGACTCGACGAAACTTGATGTGTGTTTGTAACAAAAAGAGGGCCTACTCTCTTTCACAATGGCCGATCCCTCAAGGCCTCTCACCTCTCCCGACGACACCGTCCCCCCATCACTGTCGTCAGCTTCGAGGAGGGTGGCGTCCCCGAGACAGGCGGCTCTGAATCTGTTTCGCGGAAACAGTGGATATCAGCGCATGCCTTCGGGCGGTGACCACGAGATGGTCGATCTCGACGATTCCGGCCCCTCGTCATACGCATCCGGACTCGGCATCTCAATGAGATCGGGCCCGCCTCCGGCTTCAAGATCAAGTCCACCAGAGACACCTCTTTCGCACCACGGTCTTCTTGGTTCAACTTCTTCAGCTGTCGCTTCACCGAATTATCCCCCAGAACCATATCTAAGTCCCAATATGGTGAAGACCAGCAATCAACAAGGTACGCCGGAGCCATTTTCAGAGATTTGGACTCCGGCTGTTCCTCACCCAGCTTCATCACTCAGTGGAAATACGGCAGAGGAATCTCATAATCTCAAGGATTCACCTAATACGGCCCGTGGTTTCAACTCGCCGGCTTCAAACTTGGATGGGGAAAGGACGCCGACTATTGTAGGACCGAGGGGGGAGGTGATAGATGACGACTTTGACGACGATACGTTTTATAAGAAATTTGGTAAGAGAGATTCAAGTGTTGCGCTCACACAAGGCTCACCAAACCAGGCGAACCTCCAAGTCACTGCTCCTCCGACCAAGACATTCACCAAAGTAGAAGGAGATGGCTCTCTATTACGATCTACGTTCTTTCACTTTACTCCACCATCATGAGCAGCATCTGGCTTGTCACAGCTATTGTACAGCCCAGATGGGGTCACGGCATCTCATCGAAACATGGCCTTGTGCCCTCGACAGCGACAACTGTTGCCGCGCTTCTCGCAAAAACGATTGAAATGTCTTTTGTGACAGTTTTTGTCTCCTGCCTGGGTCAAGTTCTCACACGAAGGGCGTTTATCCGCAAGGCTCAAGGAATGACACTCGCAGAAATGACAATGCGAAATTGGGTCATTCAACCAGGCTCTCTCATCACTCACTTTGAGACCCTCCCTTCTTCGTCAATGACTATCCTCGGTATGCTGTCTCTGACGGCAACGTTCGCTGCAGCATTCTACACTACCGCCTCCGACGCCATGGTCTCTCCGAAGCTCAAGTCCGGGGGCTGGGAAACTAAGGAGCTATCGGGCTATGTGCGCGCGTCGTATGCCAACGCACAATACGTCTCTCACGACTGTCCCTATCTCTTCAACATTGACAAGACCGATATCCACGCGGCCGAGTCCTGTATGAATGTGCAGTTTTCGGGCCAGTCGTACCGCAATCTCTTGAGTTTTATGGGCACATGGACAAACATCAACCAGAACAGCACCAGCGTTGGAAATGATCTATCGAAACGACCGACGGGTACGACGCTTCTCTTTGACAACACGACTATGATGTCGACTTGGATCGAGAGGGAGCATAGCAACGTGACGGCGCAGTTTGAAGAGACGGGGAGAATCATTAATAATGTCACACTCGCTCTGCCTCACCCCGGCGTTTACGGCGCTGCGACCCTGCCAAAGAATGGCATCCTTCAGCCAGATGACCTCGCCGGAGTTGGAGAATACGCCGTCAGAGCTGGAGTTGTCTCACCTTCAGTCAACGTTCTGTGTGTCGACGCGGACAAGAAGGACCTTGCCCCGCTCGTCTATACGGAATGGCCTAATGCACTGGTCAACGAAACGGATGTGGGCGATCAAGTTACGGGGTGGGATGGTTGGGCTGGTGAAGTACCTCAACCGACCAAGAAGGGAGGAAAGCCGGAGTATCTCAACCGAACGGTCCTTGATGACATTTTCAAATGGGGGCCAAAGTACGAGCGAAGGCCTCCAGTGTTTCAACTCGTATGTTGCTATCCACCTTTCGATGATACGACTTCCACGGCTAACTTCTGCAGTACCCCTACGACTACAACCTTCTCTCCAACGGCACCGTTTACGAAGGTGACGCCATCTACATGCTGGGGAAGTCGGCCGGAAACAAGAACTACACGATCTGCCAGCTACGCTCCTGGGTCTCTCCCAACTGCTCCACGCAGTTCAACATCTCTGGCACAGCTGGAGCTAACATGGAGGCGCACTGCGAGGATGACGAGGACGAAAATGCCTACCGTCGATCATTCCCGCCTGACCAGGGTTGGTCTCTTCCTTCTCTGGACTGGAAGGTGAGTTTTACTTGGCATGAGGCCAGCAAGATGCTAACATAAACAGTGGCTCGCTGATCAATGGCGATTATCCATGGACCTCAACGGCGGTGCCATTAACAACAACGCCTCCAATGCCCGTATCCTGACCCAGCTTGCCCTTCACGAGCCCAAGCTTCCATCGAACCTACCCTCAATGGCTGAGGCTGTCGCCGTTTACTCAAGCGCCCTCATCATGATTAGCGCCATCGATACCCCCTTCCGACACTACTGGGACTACAAAGCGCCCAATAACTGGGTCGAGGACGGCCCAGGGTTCCTGCAAACATTCAACGCATCGCTCATCACGCAACAGTACACGTCAGGCCATACAAACGACTGGCAAAATATCTTTTACGTGGTCCTCGTGCTCGTCTTCGCCATCAATCTCTTCTGTCTATTCTACTTCATCATGCGGTCTGGTTTGGTGACCGACTTTACCGAGCCGCAAAACATGTTCTCTTTGGCCGTCAACAGCCCACCGAGTTATGCGCTCAACGGCAGTTGCGGAGGAGGACCTGAGAAGAGGCATCTTGTGGTGCCATGGAAGGTGGCATTTGCTCCAAGTGCGAACCACTACTTCTTTCAGGATACAGCAGGTGGCAAAGAGCCATCGCAAGGGTTGAGCACGGCGAGGGAGTATGGCCAGCCAAGAGCGAGCAGTTACAAGAGACTGAGTTCAAGCAAGGGATGGCTATAGGAGTTTTTCTGGGAAGCATTGTTGGGCGTTTGGGTGTTTGAACATGGTGTTGTTGGGTAAGGATTCAGGGTAGTCGCTGTCTGTAGCTCTCCTCGCAGAAGGTGCCGTAATGAATGGTGGCTACTTCCTCAGGAGATCAACTCTTGTTGGCCTCCTATTCCTGAGATTCCCTCCTCTTCCATCTCTTGAACTTGAATCTTTCATCAACCCAACATTCTTCATCGCTTGAACTTGATTGCTCCATCAACTCAACATCAATCCAACATTTTCTTTCTATCACAAGAACCACAACATCATACATCATGTCCGACGTCCAAGGTTTCCCCCCATCCGCGAGTGACTACGTCCTGTCCGATGAGATGTTCAACGACGACATCCAAAAGGCAACCAATCCCAAAGACCGCGCCAGGCGTCAAGAGGCAGTGCGAAGAGTCATCGGGGCTTTTAACAGGGCGAAGCGTAGCATGTCACTCTGGAGCGTTTCGATGCTGTGGAACTACCTCCGGACTACCGACTGGGTCTGCAGCGAGAGGCATGTTTCGAAACACCCCGAAGGAAGGTTCTTGCTTGAGCAAGATGCGTCAACAAGGTGGCCCATGGACTGGTACGGCCGCCTCTTTGTCATCCAGGCAACCTGCCACAAGACGGAACAGCTCGACAGGATTCACAGAGAACATGCCAGTCATTGGGGCTGCGCGTACCACAAGGGCCGGCCGTTCTACCCTGACCTCTACCGTGACAACAGCAGAAATAGTCGCCGTTCTGGTTCTCCCGAGCATTCTATCGCCCCGTCTACGTTGACCCAGGACTCTGTCTCCTCTCTGGAACTCGACCGGGGTAGAAGTCCGCCTCGCGCCAGATCTCAGTCTTCAACCCCTACTCTAGCCAACTACGACATCATAGACCCTCACCATCTTGAAGTGGCAATACCTCCTTCTGCAGTGAACCGACCAACACGATCTGATCGGAGCAGCCCTGAGGGCCCGCCTGCCAAGGTTAACCGGGTTATGTCTCCCCTCAAGCAACAAACACAACCAGTTCACACGAGCCGCAAGGCCTCCCCACGGCCTGGTCACTCCAGCTCAGCCTCGTCTGATTCTATCCTCAAACGAACCCAACCTACCAGCACCAACCCTGAGGTCCCACAACCAGGCTACACCGGCGATGGGGTTGTGAATCATGATCCCCCCAAACCGTTTCTCAGTACATTTCCGGACCTGTCTATCCCAGCCACTTTCCAGACCAGCCAGGTAGGCCCACCTGCTCGCACCGGCCCTGAGATCTCACATCCTATCCAGGCTGATCCGACTGTCCCTCCTCTAAAGAGCCAAACAGCCGGTCCAGCTTGCACCAGCTCCGAGGCCACCTCGATTCCTGCCCGCGTCAACCCAGCATTGCCTCCTCACGATCTGTCCAACCAACCAAGAGGCATTCCTCCAGAAGGCATTCACCCCTTTGGGCACACCATGAGTCACGACGGAAGAATTATTCCTGCAGGCATGCCTCTGCCAACTTCTCGCTCCGTCGGCCAGCCTATGCATTTTTTTAACCATCACACTGGGCGCACCATGGGTCCTGGCGAATGGCCTCACCATGTAATTCCAGACATACATCTGCCAGCCTGGAACTCTCACCCCCTCACCCATCCTATGCCTCTGGCACCCCCTCAGCCCTTCGCCCATCCTATGCATGCTCATGGTCCTCACAGCATTGTTGCAAATCCTCAAAGCCCACGACCGCGTTCTCCTCGCCCCATCGTCCAGCCTATGCCTGTTCGTGGCCGCCGTCACAGCATTATTACAAATCCCCACAGCCTACGACCACGTTCTCCTCGCCATGGCATCCCGCACTGGTCTGGTCGTAATATTGGGCCTGTCAGTACAGTGCCGGATCTACAATCCTGCATGATCCAGGCCATGCAAGCTGCACAACAGGCAATCGAACTATCCCAAAGGTCACTGCATCACGTCCGGAGATTGGAAGACTTTTCGAACACCATGTCGGACTATGTCCAGCAGTCGGTGATTCATGCCCACCGATCAAAAAACTACATGGATGAGTCTGCGGCCGTTACGAAGGGGATACAGGAAGAGATCCGCGGATCAATGGCCAACAACGAGGCAGCCGTGACCACAGCGAACCGGGCCTTGAGTCTTGTTGAGAGACTGCGTCAATATTTTTCAATTGAACCATGAGAATGAGGCGATGCGAAAGTGGTCTGCTCATGGAACCTCAGTCATGTACAAAAGTGTGGAACATTTCGGTGCATCCGAGGCTCAAATTGCCTGGAGTGGAATCAAGTCTTTGTAAAGCGTGTATTGTCATTAGCGATTTGAGATAGAAGAATAGCCATAATGTACTGTTGGCCGTGGGCTAGCGCTCATTTCATCCTGCCTTTGGCCTTTGTCCTCCTGGAGCTCTCAGTCGCCAGCCTCCATGATCCCTTTCCCTTTGAATCGTTATCGTAGATTTCATGCCATCAACTGTGCCTAGTAGCACAGACTCGTCTTAAATGTAGCTAAGCTCTTCGAGATGCTCTCACGCAGTTCCCTGCATCGTTGGGCAGGGTTGGGGCTGGGCCTGAGCCTGGTTTGTGTTGACGCTCTCGGGTCTGACTGCTCCTTGGACAACACGGGGCAGGTTGACGGCATCGACGCGACTGGCCTCTTGTTTGATTTCATCCTCGTTCTGTCGTGGTGGAGCTGGTGTGGCGACTTGGCCAGTTGCCTGGGCGTTCTGGGCTGGCTTCGGAGGTTGTTTGCCAGAGGGAGCGCCTGCGCCTCCAGTGGGCTTCAATGGAAGGGGACCTCGATCATGTCTTGGAGCCAATCCCATCGCATGAGTGCTGCGAGACATGGACGCCTGACTCTCGCCTTCAGACTTGACGGGAGTCTTGCCGAGGAAGAGGAGATACTCCTTGTTGGGATCGTCAATCTTGGGGTACGTGAGCTTGTCCATGTTGAAGAGAACACCCCAGTGAGTCGAGAACTCATAGAGAAGTCTGACAACCCAATCTTCAGGTCCCCAGATGGCATGACAGACAAACAGATGAGGATAATACAACCGTCCATGTCCACGGGTAGGTATCTGACCTTTGAGGCTGCGGTACAGGGCGTAGTTGGACGGGTTGCGGGCGCTTCTGATCCATTCGCCGCGACGGATGTACGTGTAGAGTTCCTGGCGGGTCGACGGGGACATTGAGGATTTGATTTTGCCGTAGGCTTTCAGGACCTTTTTGACGCATTCGCGGCGCCATTGCTGGGCGCTGGGACGGGGAGCCATCATGCCGATCTTGGGCTCGAAGTGCTTCATGTTGAGGGGTTCCTCGCCTGCGGGGGAGGCGTCGGTTTTCTGCGCCATTGTGGGTAATGTTGGCTTTGATCTTGTTGATCGATGGTGGGAAGGGGAGATTAGAGGATGAGATGTGGGTGTTGAGGTGAATTGGAGAGAGAGATGGAAAGAGGGCTTTTGAGGCGAGTGCTCAACAGGGCCTCTGAATCACCATCACTGATGCTTTTCAGCGTGCAAGAGATATTGAGCAAGGTTGAGCAATGGAATTGCCCTTGGTCGCATAGCATAATGCGAATCGCGACTGATCCAGAGCACGAATAGCAAAGCATTTCTGAAGTCATGACAAGAGAGCCCGAATAATACCGTGGGCGCAGTGGCGGATTTTTGGCAATTAAGACTTCCGATTCGAGATTCACTTTTTACACGTATTAACTCAGACAAGACTGGATGATGTCCGTATATGTTGGTGTCGTGCAAGGCCTTGGCGAGCACTTACACCAGAGTGTGCCAAGGACTTGGCAGGGCGATCACCACGCTACAACCCGGCGGATCAGGTGTAACAAAAGCTTGAAGAAACAACGTCAAGTATGCTCAAATGAGAAACCAAGTTCAGAGTTTGTTTGGTACCTACAAGTTGTACAAATTCCGACTCAGGCCTGGATTGGACGCTAGCGAGGCATTTTTATGGTGTAACTTGGCGATATGGTCTGAGTGGGCATGGCTGAGAGACAGTGCTGCAGCCCAGGGAGACCATGAAACAATCCCAGTGTATGAGTGTTTAGTTGGAGCTATCCGTCAACTCACGTCAAGGTGCTGTCCCTCAAGTCAGAGCAGGTACTCTAAGCTCCAGGGCAGCTGAGCAACGTCGACACTGTCAATGCCTTGATTTCCAAGGGGATCACATCTAGGAACGGGGAATTCGCGTACCAAAGAGGAGATTCAAGGGGGGGATGGGGAATTCCACTCCACCATCGATAAATCGAGCGAACAACCTCGCCACCGCGTTCCGATTCCAAACACAGTCAACCAACGGAATTGGCTCGACGTTGCAAGTAGATGAACGGTAAACTCTATGATGGCGGAGAAGTTTCTCTTTGTTTCATAGTCATGGCTCCATAGTTACCAGCGTCAAAAGGACTTATAATGTAATCAAGTCAAGTCAGGGGCTGAGTGCGATGGATGGCCGAGCCAAGGCGGGAAGAAGTTTCACGCAGCTCTCACTCAGCAGTAGTTACCTCAGTGTCTTTTTGGATGAGAGAGTGGCCGTCTAGTACTGGCCCTGTTGATATGATCTTATCAGCGGGGTAATGAAGCCGCTCCAATCGTTGGGCGGATACAGTAGGGGGTAGCTTCGTCACCCCGATGATGAGATTCTAACAGGAGCGATGCTCTACAACTCTCTTTGACCGAGTTAGCCACTGGCGAGAATAGCTTCATGCGAGCCCTGTGCTCATCTTTGCTCGGTTATGCATCCACGAAACCATCGGGGCAGCTTCATCACCTCGATGACGAGATTTTAACAGGACCTGTTCTCCTGGTGAGCTGGAGTGGAGTTGGGGTGATATGTATCCAGGCAGGCAATGATGAGGCCTCTGATAATTCGGAGCCCGCGTGCTTACCAAGTTCTTCTCATACATGGGCCTCCAGATGATTTCACGGATGCAGCGGGTGATGAAGTCCATGTGACGAGAAGAACTTGACAAGCACACGAGACTCCCAATTCTCCGAGGCCTCGTAATTGCCTGCCTGGGTATCAGCCTAACTCCACCTCAGCTCTCAAGCAAGGGGTCGTATACCTTGACAGTCCAGACTGCGGAGTGTGGAGGTGTTGGGGATAGCGTCCGAGGCAACACCGAAGCTGTCGTCCCATTCCCATGCGCGGCTCCGCAAGTTGACAGAGCTACAATCATGTCAAGCATGACGAGATGTCTTGAAACAACATGGAGTATCACTTCAGTGGTGGTTTGTGGTCAACGGGCCGACCTCGAGAAGGAGGGTTGGAGAACTCAACAACACCATAAACTCCCATCATGCAACACTTCTCCAACAGACATCTAGTAGGTTGCCCTCCTCAGTTTCGAGTGCCGGTCTAGACGGGCCTGACCCCACAATGCCGCCGAGCCTCAAGGACAAGGAGGTCCTTGATCGGATGGTTTATCAAGATGCTGTTGACCTCGGAGAACGGGACCCACGAGTAAGAGACTGTCATAGGCTACGAGACCCTTGCGCCCGTCGAAACGGTGCGCCCTCGGAGCCTCCGTCCCACACTCGAGAGGAACAAAAAGAGTCGTCATTGGTGTTTTGACGACATGTCGGCCCGACATGTGATTGGAAGGGGGTGATTTTGAGTTTCGCGATCGCCAAGTTTTCGATCCATCGTTCAAAATTTTTGGAGAGAATGCAACCCAACCTACAGAACTTGGAGATCCTCTGTGTTTTCCCCTCTTCTTTCATCTCCAGGATAATAACAGGTTGCGGGGGATAAGACAGCCCATGGGGAAAAAATCAAGGTCTGGGGATGTAAAGTGTCAAAGGGTGTTGGTCGAGGTTAGGATGCTCCCTTGATCGGGATGGCCTAGGTACTATCTCGCCACTTACGCCAACACTTTTTGACACAGAGGATGTCATTTCTCAACGGCCGTGATGAGACGGATGCTTCGATTGTGCTTGAAGCATCAATGTTGAAGTTGGCTTCTAGAGTTTCTTCGAATGTCTTGCATGCCCTGTAAATCAAACGTCTATCGTTGATCTGTCTCAACAATGCCATTGTCTTAGGAAGTGTCTCTTCACCATGAGAGTCAATCCCAAGTTAGAGTTGACGCCATGGATAAGGGTTTCTCTCGGGTACTCCAAATCCAATGCCTCCTCTCTCTTCCCGCCACCACACAAAAAACAAGAATCTTACAAACCTGATGGGTGTAGACAAACTCCCGCTGACTGGACAGCAAAGCGCTCGACAGGGCCTACCACACGAAAAAGCTAAATGAAAATATGACCTAGTGGACGTGGCCGTAAAAGGGCCGAAACGGTCGTTGGTCCTCGCGCGACGCTATTCCGGAGGGTTTTGGCCTGAGCGGTTAGACTGACATGCATACTCTCATACTCTCACAACTAATTCATCACTTGGACATGTTGGAAAGCATCAAATTGCTCATGAGAGTGGCAAATTAAGTAGTTCATAGTTCAATGCCAAGGACAAGATTCTCCCACAGACGATACTACAACTTGGCGTTTGCCCAGCCGGCCTGGCCCGGGGGAGGTGGGATCTCGGGAGACCCGCATCTCGCCCCGACATCTCGACTGTGGGGATCTTCATTACATGGTCATGGGTTTTATCATGATGGAGATCCTTACTTGACCTCGTGGTTAGGAGCATTCTGTTTCATCTGCCGAGGCTTTTCTTCATCCGAGTTATCCGTGAAAGGTCATGCATTGGAGCTGAGACCAAGGATTAAGCAATGCTTCTCATACATGCAAACATCAAGTATTGTTGAGTCTGTATTCTATCATGTATCTCCCATATGTTGAGTGTAGTATGGCACAACACCCTCTTTCTCCAAAGAGGCGAGACAATTCAACTCTCAAAACCATCAACAACCCATTCAAAACATCAGATCAATCCTCCTAGTTCACCACCGCTAGGCAATATCACGGCGAGGCGTCAAAGGAAACGCCCGCGTGGAGCACTCCAAGTTTGACAATGTGACACTCTCCTAACCCTTGAATCCCCCACAAAACACCCTTCCCCGTATCCATCCTCTGTCAGGCCATCTAAAAAAGCCAATGTCATCGGTGGCGATCCCCCAGTCCTGGTGGTGGTGCGGCTGCTCCGCATCTCCAAATTCCCCCTAGTCGCGGTCAGCCCGGGGTCGAGAGTCTGGAGCTCCCCGAGCTTTAGCTTCCCCCCTCGTTGTAAGCGATGGGGGAAATTCGTGTAAGAAACGTCATGTTGGAGTGGGTTCTTTTTACTTGCAGACCGTTGGTCATCTGGCAAGCTCAACTTTAAGCCTTTTACTTTAAAAGCACGAGCTTCCCTCCTCGAAATCATGTCGTTTTTTTTCTCATCAGGCTTATACCCAATAACCATTGAGCTCTTTGCTCTCTTCTCTACTATTCACAAACTCAACTCGCCAAGAGTCGATCTTCATCAAGACTCAGGGGTAGATCCCAATTCAGCCCAACGGCTCCTCAACACAGCTCCTCACTAGGAACAAGAGCAATCGCCATGAATACTATTCGAAGAGCTTCCCTCAACAAGCCCACGGAGGAGGGCAAGGCATGGCCTGCCATCGCCATTGGCATGTTTGTTGCCTTTGGTGGTGTCCTCTACGGGTATGTCCATGAACTGAACTCATACATCTTCAATACTGACTGGACCTAGTTATGATACTGGTACCATCTCTGGTATCCTTGCCATGCCCTACTGGCAACGCCTCTTCAGCACCGGTTGGAGAGATTCGGACGGCGACCTCAACATCACCACATCCCAAGAGTCTGGCATCGTCTCCATTCTCTCCGCGGGCACCTTCTTCGGCGCTCTCTCTTCTCCCTTCATGACTGATTACATCGGTCGTCGCCCCGGTTTGATGATTGCCACCTGGGTCTTCAACATAGGTGTGGCGCTTCAAACTGCTGCCACTGCTATCCCCATGTTCCTTGCTGGGCGATTCTTTGCCGGCTTCGGTGTTGGTCAAATCTCTGCCATCATCCCCCTCTACCAGTCCGAGACAGCCCCCAAGTGGATTCGCGGCGCCATCGTAGGAGCCTACCAATGGGCCATCACCATCGGTCTCCTCCTCGCCGCCATCGTCAACAACGCCACATCCAAGCGCAACGACACAGGCTCCTACCGCATCCCCATCGCTGTCCAATTCGCCTACTCCCTCGTGCTCTTCGGTGGAATGTGCATCCTCCCCGAGACGCCCCGCTTCCTCATCAAGCAAGACCGACACGACGAGGCCGCCAAGGCCCTGGGCAGGATTCGAAGGCTGCCTCAGGAGCATCCTGCTATTCAGGCTGAGCTTACGGAAGTGAGGGCGAACCACGAGTATGAAAAGACTCTTGGAAAGGCTTCTTATCTTGACTGCTTCCGACCTCCTATTCTGAAGCGCCAGTTTACTGGTATGGCTCTGCAGGCTCTTCAGCAACTTACTGGCATCAACTTTATCGTATGTCCCCTAATTCACTTCATCTGTACATAACTAACAAGAGTCCAGTTCTACTATGGTACCAAGTACTTTGAGAACTCTGGTATCTCGAGCGGCTTCGTCATTTCCATGATTACATCAGCCATCAACGTCGCCTCCACCATCCCCGGCATGTACGCCATCGACAAATGGGGTCGTCGCCCTCTTCTCTTCTGGGGCGCCATCGGCATGTGTGTCTCCCAATTCATCGTCGCCATGGCGGGTACATTCTCTACCGGTCAGAATGACAACGGCACAATCTTTGTCAAGAACCTCGCTGGACAAAGGGCCGCCGTGTCGTTCGTGTGCATCTACATCTTCTTCTTCGCTTCCACATGGGGTCCCCTTGCTTGGGTCGTCACCGGCGAGATCTTCCCTCTCAAGACCCGTGCCAGGTCTCTCAGTATGACTACTGCGACTAACTGGCTCCTCAACTGGGCGATTGCCTACTCAACCCCCTACCTCGTCGACTTTGGTCCCGGCAAGGCCAACCTCCAGAGCAAGATCTTCTTTATCTGGTTCGGCTGCTGCTTCATCTGCATCGCCTTTGTCTACTTCTTCATCTACGAGACCAAGGGTCTCTCCCTCGAAGAGGTTGACCAGCTTTACGACGAGGTCAGCGTGGCGCGCAAGTCGACACAGTGGAAGCCCACGGAATCCTGGGAGCACCGCCAGAGCGTGTCTGGACCCGGTGGAAAGATGTTTGGAAATGAGCACGGAGAGGTCACACACGATGAGAAGAACGAGAGTGTTTGAGATCAATAAGCAAGAGCATACGAGTCATGTATTCATAAGTTTACCGATATCCGGTTGAGGATCGGCGAAAGCGACCGAGAACCCCACAATACCCGGCCCCACACGGCCCGGGATCCTGTACATAATATCCCGAAATAGTCCAAATCTTCATTTACAGCGTAAAAGTCCTACGTCCCTCTCCCTTGATGAACCTATTCTTCTCCTTATCCCCGATGAGCGTAGCATCCTTGGCACTATCATCCACATCCAGGACCTGTGTGGCACACTTTGCCGACTTGCCCTTGTTCTCCACGTCGACCTTGTCGTTGTCCTTGCCGTAGGGGATGGGTCGGATCACCTTGAGGTTAAGGGAGCTGCCGTCCTCGTCGTCGTCGCCGAGGCTCTTGTGGAAGATGCGGATACCGGCGACCACGACGGCGTTCCAGGGGTCCTTCTCGGCCTCGTCACCCTCGTTGGTGTCAGAGTCGGAGGAAGAGTCGCTGGACTCCTCCGAGTCGGAGGGAATGTCTCCGGTGTACGTGTCAATGGCGATCTGGAGTTCCCGTTCGGAAAAGTCACGGAGGGAGCCGACGGTAGAGGCCGCGCCGTCATCGGTGTCGCTCTCCTCTTCCGATTCGGGCTCCGACTCCTCGGCCTTCTCCTTCTCGTCATCTCCCTCTGCCGCCTCTTCCTCGGCCTTCTCCTCCCCTTCCTTGGTCTCCTCTTCACCCTCAGCCTTCTTCTCGTCCTTCTCCTCGACATCATCGTCAGCAGTAGATTCGGGGGTCAGAGGCTCCTGTGGCTTCGACTCCTCCTCCTTAGACTCAACCTTCTCCTCAGAGCTGGGAGTGGCCTCAACCTTCTCAGTCTTTTCAGTAGACTCGGCTTCCTTCTCTTCCTTCTCCTTCTTCTCTGCGGCCTCCTTCTCCGCAGCCTCAGCAGCGACCTTGGCCTCCTCGGCAGCCTTCTCAGCTCGAGCAGCGGCCTTCTCAGCCTTTCTGGCCTCCTTCTTGAGCTTCTTCGCAGCCGCCTTAAGCTTAGCCTTCTCCCTCTTCTTCAGTCGTCTGTGCTCTGCCCACGCCCACTCCTTGGTGGCCAAGTAGTGAGCCGCCTCTCGGTCCTTGATGAGCTTCTTCCTGATTCTGTCCTTCTTCTTCTTCTTGAGCTCCGCCTCGTGCGCCTTGCGAGCTGCCTTTTCCTCGGCGGTCTCGACGAATCGGCCCTTGCAGTGGCCGAGGTCGTAGGTGAGACCGATCCGCAGGAGCTTCTCACGGCGAGACTTGGCGTTTTGCTTGATGACCTTTTCAATGGGGAAGAGTGACTCGTTGCGAGTGGCGTTGATCTTGACGCGGACTTCATAGTCGCCAGCCTCGAGTTCAAGCTCGACGTTGGCGGATCGTGTCATCCGGTAGGGTGTCTGGCTGCGGACAACATAGTCAGACTTGCCAGCCTTGTGAACACGGAAGGCCAGCTCAAAGCGGTACTGGCCCTCAAGACCTCGGAAGTATCGGTCGTCGAGCTGGGCCAGGACGATCACGACGGGGCCTGGCTTGGTGACAGTGAAGGAGAAGTGGGTGTCGTGGTAGTCGAGAGCCCAGGGGACGGAGAGAGTAGTCCAGACCTGAGTGACGCGCCACTCAGGGGTGAACAGACGGGTTCGATCGAAGGACTGGTACTTTCTAAGAAGGTCCTCGTACGAAATCCAAAAGTCTCCGTCATCGCCGAAGCGGTGGTCGAGCTTGGTAAGCCACTCGGGGGTCCATTCCTTGGATCCATCACCTGGAACTGTTAGCATCTTCTGGTAGCGAGGCATCGACGAGGTTACGTACTCCACGGGCCGTTCCATTCTCCCTTGCCCCAAGGGTTCTTGAGTTTGAGCAGACGTTTTCCGTCAATCTCGACAGCCTTCTGGATCGAGTAGGCGTGAAGCTCGATGATGCCCTTTCGGTCGCCCCAGCCATTGCCCCAGACGCCAGTCCAGCAGCTGAAGAGGAACTCTTTGTTCACCTTGAGGAGTTCCTCATTCCAGAAGTAATCCTGTCAAATTCGTTAGTTGATGTTGTGAAAACGCACGTGTGTTGGTCCCACCTTGTCTAATATATCATTGGCAAAGAGCTCACTGCTGACACCACCAGTGAGATCTTCAATACCCTCACCACCATAGCCACCTTCGATGGCGGCGTAGTCTCCGTGGGCCTTGGCATAGCACTTCTCGAGAAGGGGCAGCCAGGTCTCCTGGGGATGCTGACACTGTGCAAAGTAGAGAGAGCCGCTGTTGGACTGATAGATCCGGCGGTATGCCTCCTCTGGGTCAAGTCGCTCAACATTATCAAACAAGACTCGATCCAGATAGCTCTCGTCATAGTCGGGCTTGGTCAGATAGAGCTAAAATGTCTGTCAGTTGCTGTATCAAGCACAAGATGGAGACACGTACATAGTCATCGACAATCTCCGAGATCCACTCGCCGTCGCGGAAAAAGACGAAACCATAGACACCGACAGCTTGGTCATGAGCAACGCAAAGCCTCTCAATGAGACCAGGCTTGTTGCTCAGAGTGCAAAGAGCAGCCATGAGCCAGCAGTCACCATTACGGCCCTGCCTAATGTCACTCGTAGTAGGTCCATCAATGTAGAAGCAGGGCTTGTCAAAGATGTCACCGACACGCTTGACGCTCTGAGGCTGCATGTCAAGGCCAGGTGTGTAGTCCTCGACGTTTGAGAGCGATTGAAGGCAGTCATTCTGGCCAAACTTGAGATCGGCTTCAATGTCAAAGTGGGGGTCGCGATACTTCTTGTTGATGCGACGACACTCCTTGACAATCTTTTCAACCTTGGCACGGCACGTGGCCGCAGCCTCTTCATAAGAAGCATCTGTGGTGCTGGCGGTGACTCTGTTGCCTCTCTTGGCAGCAGCCTGGATGTAGGTGTTGGAGGGGATGACAGTCGTAGCTGTAAATCATCAGTTTACTGCTCAAATTGTTTATGGGGGCACAAAGACATACCCTTGCCCGGGTTCTTGGTGGTGAATTTGCCCCAGAACTTGTCAATCACATGCTGGGGTGTAACCTTTGAGCGGTCGACCGAGTCAACACCAGCAGCGATCTCTGCAACAGATCTGTTGGGCGACGATGACCTCGAAGAGGAAGAAGAGGAGGAAGACATCTTGTCCAATGTGGAGTCGACACCCTGTTGTGTAAAAGTACTAGGCAGGTCAAGAATTAACAACACCACACACAACTCTCACTTCAAAAACGAGAGTTCAATGGTGAGCTCTCAAGAATCTGAGAAACACAAGAAACGATCAAATGCAAAGGAAGAAGCCCGCCTTTTATCCCTCTCGTGTCCCCCTCTATCACATCCCCCATAATGCACGCCGAGCAAGCTTGCGTTTAAGCGCCGCTTCAGCTCGTCAGCCCGTCAGCAATTCCATCAGCCGCCAGCTCATCATCCCGGTCTCCATTTTGATACATCTGCCTCCTCCCTCACAAAAGTGCAAAGACCCCATGTCTCGGGGTCTATGGTTTGTGGTCGTCGTTCCCCTACATCTTGGACTCACAAAGTCGTACAGCCACACCGGTTCCCCCATCCTCAAGATGCATCTTGTAACCAGAATAGGCCGTCTCCTCCGGTGCTGCAACTGCAAATGCCCGAGACCTGAAGCAATAATCCTCCCCAACCTCTCTTCACATCAGCCAGCGGCAGCGCCCGGCCCCCAACTTCCTTGGCGTTTGGTCGAGATTCCCCCCCTGCCACCCGTCAGCCCACCCCGGGTTAGTTTGCAGCTCTGACCCCTCCTCCTCCCGAAACCTCGTAGGGCTGGGAACTTTGGTGGAGATGAAGTGGTTGGTGATCATGTTTGAGCCCGTTGCGGCTGACGACTTTTGTGACTTGGCACCATGCAAGGCCGGCCATGGCGACTATTCACGGCAGTCTATTGCCTTGGCTTCCAAGGATACAAACGTTGGCTGCGGGGTTGATGTTCGTCCTGTTTGAGCTCTATTTCGCGCTCATGCTGACGCGTAGCATTCTATCTGCATATTGATCCAACCACGACTGGGCCGTCTCTAGTCGTATTTTCAAACATGACTGCATTCGCAATGTGTAACACGGCTGCCTATGGTGACCTCTGCGGTTCAGATGCTTGATAGGCTGTAGTCATCCATACAACTACTTCAGCCACATGCTCTGTCCGTCTTCCTGAGTGTAGGGCACAACCTATCCCTTTTCAACCATCTAATGCCGTCTCCGGAACCAACTCCGAAGCCCGTTGCACAACCCAAATAGTCACGGTTCATGCTGTCTAGGCCGCTGTCACTCTTGTGGCACAGTGAAAGCGTTTCAACAGCCGATTGCTCTAAGCAAACAGAGCTATTTGAAGAGCCTTGGGGTCGTGCCGTGCCGTCCGCTGCAAGGTGATCGCCAAGATGTTCAGCTCATGCAGGAGGGCACCCAACAGAGGCACGTTTGGTCATTGTAATACCTCATCACCTGGTACCTCCTTGATATCATCCAAGGACAGCTCTTGATTACCAGCACACATTCGACACCACCATACAATCTGTACTAACCTCATAACTCCGCTGATCGCAGCCTCATCGAGATAACCTGACCTGAGCCCGAGCTCATTCCCATTCATGCCTTAGCATACAGTTCTGTTAGCCTGTCCAGTCCAGTCCTTACTCCATAAAGAAAAACAGTTTGCCATCCCAACGCCATTCCGTTGTACAGTGCCAGCATCGTAACACCTCATCTCATCTCATCTCATCTCATTCTTTGCTTGCTGATGCCACTTCGCTTCATTTTTTGTAATGCTTGTGTATCAAATCGTTCGTTTACAACTCTGCCGCAACCACAACTTCACCCCCAACCATCAGACCCACGCTCAACCTCAACTGCAACCGCAACCACAACCACCACATCTAGACAGCCTTTCAAAGACGAGGGGTCTGGGGACACCTTTACGCTCCCAAGGCTCCCCACCATGACTTCTCTCCCACTCATAAAAGTCTCTGTTGTCTGTCTGTCTGTCTGCTGCTCTGTGGAACGTTTTCTTCCGCATCGAACAGGGCCTCGAGTGAAACACCTGTCGTCCACAACACAAACAACATCCTATCCCCCAATTGTCATTGTCGTCGATCAATCTGGCCTTTAGCCCACCACTCCACTTCTCACGCACGCGTCCACTGATCTTTTTGCCGCCAGGCGACAACACAAGCTCTCCCGAGGCTTGACCTACCCGCTCTGGGGGCTTCTTTCTCTCGTCAAGCCTGAGTCTCTGCGCTTTTTCTTTTCCAAGCTCAACAACCAACACATCGCCTCGCGGGGTATATCCTTCGCAGGGTGCCGTAGAATTTTTTGAAAGTCGTTAAGAGCCACGTGACAGCGTCTGTCGTTCAAATCGTAGTAGTAGTCCTTGGGTGAATGATCCAAAGTTCCGTCCGAGGAAAGGTGCCAGATGCGGAGAACCGCCCAGAGACCCCCTAGTAACCAAGGATCCATGCAAACAAGTCTAGGTGAAAGATGGAAAAAGGAAATATCGTTGGTAGATGTCTTTTCCTGTCACCCAAGGCTTTCCTCGTTCTGGACTGTCTGAGGCAACAGTCACGTAGATGCCGCCCAGATAGCTTGGACGAGGACTCCGTGGGATATCCAGGTCAAACAAAGAACGAGGTTCAAAGATGAATTTAGACGGATCGAAGATGCCGTAAACCAGACCAACCAAATGGTGCCGGCTGGCATGCTTCAGATCGAAATAAACAAGAACCGGAACAAAGAAATAAGACGAGGGTAAGAGATAAAGGGATAATATGTTCACGTGTCGGCATCAAAAAGAATAAATAGGCAAGAAACACATCTGGCGGCATCCTCGGTTTAATGCCTCAATGAGAGACATCATGCCCGAGGGGCCGCCGTTGGGCCAGCCTTTTCAGGCACGACCCAAAACGACTCCGTATGGACTTAAGCCACGGGGGCAATAGGAGCAACAGGAGGAGCAGGGACGTTGCTCATGTCAACCTCGGGAGGGATCTCGCCAGGGGCGTTCTTCTGAGGGCAGTCCCGAGAGATGTGACCGGCCTCGCCGCACTGGTAGCAAGTCTTGCCAGCAGTGTTAAGAGGGCCACCGTTGGGAGCAGTGCAGTCCCGGGAGATGTGGCCAAGCTTGCCACAGGCGTAGCACTTCATGGCCTGAGCCTGGCAGTCACGGGCAAAGTGGTTGGGGCCACCGCACTTGTAGCAAGTAGCGGGACGAGGGCCACCAGCGAAACCACCACGGCCGTAACCACCGGCGAAGCCACCGCGGCCCATGGGGGCACCACGGCCAAGAGCAGGGCCAACAGGGTTGGGGCAGGCGCGCTGTTAATCCGCTGTTAGTATATGGAGCTTCGAGATATGGCGACAAGAGCATACAGCAAGGTGACCGGGCTGGCCGCAGTTGTAGCAGCGGCCGCTGGTGCCAGTACCGCTCAGGCGGAGAGTAGGGCAGTCAGCCTGGACGTGGCCCAGACCCTGGCAGTGGTAGCACTGCTTAGCCTCGGTGGTACGGGGAAGAGGGCAACCGTTGGACTCGTGGCCTAGAGAATATTAGATGCCAATGACAGTTGTCGAGGTCAAGATGCATACCAGGCTGCTTGCCTATGAGATGTAAGTTAGCGCCAATAATAGTCCAAGAGGGGGGTAAATCCTACAGTTGTAGCAAAGGCGCTCAGCAGAGGAGCAGACCTCGGCATAGTGGCCAACATTGCCACACTTGTAGCAAGCACGTCGAGAAAGAGAAGACATTTTGAGAGTATGTGTCTGGTATTTCGGTTAGTACAAAGGGCTCGTCGAGCATGTTGCAGTTGCAATGCGTGGTTGCGGCGCAGAAACCAGCCCCCTCCGGTTCGTCCCATGGTGGTTCGTATCCAAGTTGATATCCAGATCTCGATGCGCGATTATTAGGAACCTCGGTATCGGATCCTGGAAGACAGTCCATGGCGCTGACGTGAAGCCAAGCTCATATTGTCGATCAACCACGAATGCGATCCTTGGTGGTAATCCCAGGCGACAATCGCAAGCGCAATATGAGGAAGCGAGCGGCGAAGTGTCAGACCATGTTATCCAGTGCGGCAACGACGTTCGGGTAGAATATAATCGCATCGCATTTGTAACATCGAGACAACGGTTGATGACGGTGATGGCGCGATGCTTGGACGTTGGTGTTATCGGCCCTCTTTGATGGTTGATCTTGGTGCTAATGTCGAAACCCCGCACCTCATCTCGCTCGGAGGGGCAATCTGAGCATCAGGTCTCGCCGTGAAGGCGCGACGACGACATGCGACGCGACATGATCAAGCGCCAACGCGACGGACGATATCATGAAGATGTCGAGTCGCACACAGCGACAGCCAAGAGCGAGAGCCATGTGTAGGTGAACCGATGCTTGAAGCTTTCGAAAACGCGTGATTTCTTGTCGGTCGGAGGGGAAATTCGAGTCCAGACGAGTACACTCAGAATGCGACAAATAACCAAATCGAGTCGGTCGTTTTTTTTTTTCGGACGATAAAGATTCGAGAACAACCGTTGCGACAGGAAAGAGGTCGTCATCCAGAGGCTTGTCGCGCAACCAGAGGGGGACGAAGCGAAGGAGGGGCAGCAACACACGGCAACACAAAAAACGCAATGCAGTAGCAAAACCACGCTTTTACCGGTTGTCACATACCTTTATGGCCTGAAAAGGAGCTTGATGGTTAAAGAAGGGAAAAAAGAGTATAATAAATGTATATCCAAGCAGTGGATTATGGATGTTGAAGCTTATCCAAGGATGATGATGATAATGATAAACCAAGAGATTTGATTTTCCCTCGAGGGTGTGTTTTTCGTTCTTTGTTCCCAAATGGAAATTTATTTTTTGATTAAAAATTTTTCGCACGAAGGAAATGAGGGGACGACAGACACCACACACACACAAAATCAGCCAGGAGCCAGTGGACGGACGGAGCTGGAGCCCGCGAATGACTACGACTCTTTGACTGTGCCCGGCAAACTACCTAACAGACCCTACGGGCGACCAACGGATTCCATTGTGGGTAGATTGTGGGGAGGGGGCGACTCGGGCATCAGGCGCAAGCGCGTGGGAGGGGGAAGCAACCGGCGCGGGTTGGTTCTCTTTTCCCACTCATCCAGTGGATTTGCTCCTTCGGAATCACGCGCTGAAAGAGAGCACTGACTTTGGGGGGGAACATCCTATCCTCTTGGGACGGAATCACGGAAGCAGAGGGCGAAAGGGGAAGGCGATTCATCGAGTCAAGCCGGGGTCTGGAGTCCCCGTCCCGAGTCAAGGCAAAAACGGTCCAATCACTAATTGCCTAAAGGCGCCCTTGGCCTCAAACCTTCCCCCTTCCCTTGGGGGCATCTCGTGAGTCGTGGGTGTGTGTCTTGATTAGGGAAAGGTTGAGTTGAGTTGAGTGGTCTGAGGGGAGAGAGAATGGATGTTTTGTGTGAGGGTTATTTCTGCCGCTAGGGAGGATGGAAGCAGGAACAGTGTCTTGCCTTTTGACCGTGTTCCTGACATGGGTGGGTGATGTTTGACTCGGGATATTCACGTGATGAACCTTGGACTTGATCCAACCTCCATCGTTGATCTTGAATATCACACAGCTTACTTCTAACTCCGTCATTCTCATACCCAACGACTCAAAATAAATCCCATCTCTACATCACCCAAGGATATACCAAGACTCACATCCGGTCGCAGGGGCAAACCGCGTGATGTCTTCAGGATAACAATAGCCCGCAGCCCGGGCCATTTCCGTCACGTTGGATCCAGTCCCCCGAACCTCGATGGATGTTAATATCCCCTACCCGGCCCGGTCATAAAAAAAAGATAGGCTGATTTCCGGGCGCTCACCGATCGGGTTCCATCGTCACTGGATCCTCTCAGCTCAACCCCAGTCCTCGGCTCAGCCTGGGTGACCAGACGCTTACACGATACTGATACGAGTGGAATTCCTTTATAGAACAATGCCCTTGTTTATAATTGCTTTTGTTCTGTTAAATCATGTGGTATCTATTCGCCAAGTTTGGCTCGCAAGACTCCCTATCTATCTACGTATTTTTCTGGTCTCTAACATGTTGTGATGCTGTTTAAACTCGCTAACAAGCTGTCATATATGCCGTGTAAAATCATGTACGCTCAATCAAGAGCACCCTCGCTAGGGCTCCTAGAATCCAATCCCTCGCATGTCCCTCCAGTGCCCAGCATGACGCTTCCTTCAACCAGATTCCGTTCCACTGTACTTGCGCAAATAGCAGACCCCCGGGTCGACATTAAAGATTAGGATCGCTGGCTCATCGATTCTCTTATGCAGTTGGCATTCGAGCTACTCGTCCCACTTCTGAAGGATGCGGTGGGAGCGGCACGTCAGTCGTAGGCGCAGTTGATCGAGGAGCCGCCTCGACCACGTAAGAAATGCCGTCCTCGGACACGTAAGAAGGCGGCCGGGGTCCAGAATGAGCTCCAGGTCGCAGCTGAGAGAGATCAACGTCCTCATTACGTTGCCAGAATAAACGGTCGGGGTCGACTCGCTACACATGGTCAGCATCAACAAATTCACCGCAACTGCAGGATCAAGACATAAACATACCACTGTCTCTCGCCAACGGCCATAGGCTGGCGGCTGACACTTTGTCACTTCACTTTCTATGCCGACCGCTTCTTCGTCTCGAGCAAGGACAACCGGGATAGGCACAGGAGGCACGGCGTATCGTGGAGGTCCACGATAGCGTGGGGGTCGGTTTGCGCGCATGGCTGCTTCTCGGTTACTCTTTATAACGAGGATGCAGAGTCGAACAAGGCCGTGGAAGAAGAAGACGGTGGCAAAGAGGATGACCATGATGAGCATGATGGACATCTCACGAGTGTTGACCTTGTGGGTCATTGAGAGGGTGAGATCTGAGCAATTGATTAATACCCTTTCTCTGGTCATGGAAGTACAATTCATGAGGTGACTTACAAACAGTGACGAGAACAATGAGAAACAGACCAGACGCAAAGCATCGAAGAATCTGCGCTCGCATACGTCTTGACCGAATCCATGGCAGACAAAACATGAAATGCTTCGGATGCCGTGTCGCATTGTTCCTACGAGATCGGTGTCGAGATCGAGATCGATCATGGTGATGTCGTCGCCTTCGTCGTCGGCTAACAACAGATCCTCCAAGAATCTCAGCAAGTTGTGCCTCAATTGGGTCCATATGTTCACGACGATCCCTGCGCTCACGGCGTTCTCGACGTTCACGACGAGCCTGTCTCGATTCTGCTGAAGGCGTAGCCACGGGGTCTGGTATCGTAGGTGAAGATAGTTCCGATGGCTGGGTAAGTGGTAGCAGCGGCGCGGGAGAAGCAGTCGTGTTGCGAGTCTCATTTGTTAGTAACGCATTGTTGTTTCCCCATGGCCGGAGGAAGTTTACACCAAATACCCGAGAATATCGGTTCGTCTGATTCGGGTTCGAGTCTTGGGATTTGATGCTCTCGATTTCCGCCAGCTGAGGTTGCGCATTTGTCGATTGGGGTTGACCGCGACGGAACAGTCGAGAGAAGGGGTTATTCGTACGAGACTCTTGCATATCGGGCTGGCCTTCGATGTCGACATTGCTCCCGTTAGAGTCTCCCTGTCGCTCCATATGAGCCTGTCGAATGAGGTCGGAGCGCAGTCGCTCCATGGCAGGGCTATTCAAGTTCATCGTGTCTTGTAAACGCGAGGCCGCTACGTCTGGAACAAACGACTACGCGGACAATGTCGTGAGATTAATTCGATAGCAGACAGAGGTAACACTCTCAACGCAAAAGATGTTGTCGTAGCATCAGGGGTAGCATCTCGTTCATGGCTTGAGAGGGCAGGGGAACAAGATAAAGACGGTTCAAGAGCCCGTCTTGAACCTGGCCTGGGACACTATACACAGAGTGTGAACGAAGACGGCGATGATAACAACAAGAGAGACAAGAAATCAATAAAAAAGAGGGGACAAAAGTTGACGACCAGCGCCGGGTCGAGATGATCTAATTACCTAGTGGGCTCTCGAACGCCCCGTCGAAGGAGGTTCATGTGTTCGTACGAGACCACGGACCCTCCACCACCCCCCTAGCCAAGCCTAAACGACCCATGATAACGGGTCCCCCGACGAGAGGATCAGGGACCGTGCCAGGGCGAACCCAGGGATCGATGTCGCGATTCTGCGACATGGGGCCCTGTTTTAGAGGCTCAGAAGGTCTGAAGACGGAGTGACAAAAGCAAGGGCCATGACGGGCTTGAACAAGGAACGTCCCCGTTTTCTGAAATGTGATTGATTGCAGAGACTTTTCACTCTTGTTTGCTGTTCCATCGACTGGTTGCGGGAAACGACATGACTCTCTCTTCTTTATCCCTTGTCAGTTGCCCCTGGTTTTTTCTAACAGATAAACACGCCATGCCTGCAACCGGCCTAACATCAACGAACGGCGCGCACCGTAGGCAAGAAAACGTGGGATGTGGAGAACAATAGTCGAAGCTTTAACACATCCAGGGGCAGGTCTCCGGAGTAGGGGTGACAAAAAACGTGAGACTAACTGAGTAGCGTCAATACTGTCTTGATAGGCTTGAAGATATGCAGCATAGTACTTTAAGTCTTGCACATTCTTTTGATGTTCTTTGTAAGTAACATGTCTTTCATAAAGGTGGTCAACTGACGATTCAAGTCAACACTCTCGTTACGATCTGGTAGTGTCAGTCTCGCGTTTTTTGTTACCCACAGACACACCCAAAAACTAGTCTAGATCCGGTATCCGTGGCTCTGTTTGTCCGTCTCGGGTAAAGGCACGCCCTCATTTTCTTGCCGCGGCAATTGGCCAACCACGACCTGCAGAGGGAGCACCTGAAACCTGAGCTCTCACTTTTCCAGCTGGACAAAAGCAAACCACACGAGGAGCACGATTGGATGGTGATGAAGGGATAAGTTATCGAGGGGCGTCACAGTCTGTCGATGATACAAAAGACTATTGGAAGACGTCTATTCCCTTTGAATTTTACGTTCCCCTCGTGTTTTGCCGTGGCTTTTTCTCAAGGAGACGCAGGGACCTACTATCCATCAACTATTTGCAGATAGTGAGATTGGATTGCCTCGACGACGATGGACATGATGATTGCGACACCGTGCCCCCCAGCTCAAGCTCCTCATGTAATTACAAAGTCTTACATGTCTCATACTTGATACATCCACCTGAACGCCTCCAAGCCCTTCCCGATGCTTTCAGAAAGTAAAAACAAAACAAATTATACATGCAGGCTCCAATAAGTTGCGCTTTTCTAGCCCTCACGAAACACCTCTGTCCTGTCCGCCAAGACGACAAGTGTTGCCGCTCCCTGGCAATAGTTGACAGGTTAAGCCACGTCAAACTTGCTTCACGATCGAGTTTGCTGGAGATGTTGCCAAAAACGATTGCCCTTCGTTGGTTGGTTTATTGCCCCTCGACAAGGAGTTGTATCAAGGGCAGACCATCGTTGGCAAACCTTCGTGTTGTTGACACGCCATTATCTCGAAATAGTTCAGACACGGACAGTGGCAGAATTAGGATATGGCCCAGCACGTGTTGCCGGCTCATTTCAGCTCGCCAAGAAGCATCTTGCGGTCCGATGATGCAGAAAGCACTGAATTCTCCGTTAGCTCACAATTCACAGATTCTGCCGGCACAAGAGACTTACAGATGGGTTCCTTTCCTGGCGAGAATTCGGCGCAGTTTACAGTACCCTTGTGACCGGGAAGCTTGTAAGCGAGCTTGCCAGTCTCGCTCGACCACACCATGACTGTACCGTCACCTGATGCTGCTGCGATTCTCTTGCCCTCAGAGTCCCAGCTAGCACCCATTAGGTTCTTCTCCAGGCCCATTGTTGCACCATCAAAAGTCCGAATGTGTCTCTCTGTGGGAGCAAACGGTCGAATATCCCATGTCCGTACAGTCGAGTCCATGGCATAAGACACAAGTGACTGAGAGTCGGGTGAAACTCTCAGTGACATGATGGTATCCGAGTGTCCCAGCATCGAGTAGACCACCGCCTTCTTCCTCAAATCCCACACGCGAATGTCGTTGTCAATACCGCCTGCGTATATTTCGTTGCCAGCTTCCGAGACAGCCACGGCAGTGATTGGGAATTCGGTCTGAATGTAGTCGACAGCATTCTTCGATCGAGGATCCCAGATTCCGATGGTTGAATCATCGCTACCACTGACCAGTAGCTCCTCTCCTCGCCTGCTGATGCCCACTGTGTTGATGATTTCCTCGTGTCCAACGTATCGACGAATGCGTGTTCCAGATGTCAGATCCCAGCTCGCCAGGTGCATGTCGGCAGATGCGCTGTAGAGGATTTCCGAGTCGCGCGACCATTGTAGATCCAAAATCGCACCGCGGTGCCCGTTCAGTATTCCGTAGTTCTCGCAATCGCCATAGGTTCGCCAGAGCACTAGAGAGTCAGCCCATGTTCACGCGTCACGTCACTGCGCTCTTACTCAGAGATCTGTCCATTGATCCAGACGCAATCAGGTTTCCAGTAGGATCAAACTTGGCTGTAAAGATCTCGCCCGAATGTCCTGACAGCTCCATAACAGGAGCTTGAAGGGCACTGGTTCTTGGGGCCTATTCAAGTCAATATTTCACATCTCCACGGTTTCGAGATTTATCAACTCACACTCTGAACGAGGGCACTGCTCGACGCGTTAAGACGCGCAAGAGCGCCAGTCGAAGAGCTAACATTTTGTCGCTTCACGAGCGACTGAGACGAACCCGGATCGTCGTCGGCGGGACGCTTCTCTGCGGACATGTTGGGCTCGGTGGGGTTTCGAGGGTCAACTGTGATGCAATGCGACGCTGGTTATCCAAATGCGCTCGACGCTGGCAAACTTTTAGAGCTGTAAAGTGAGCTTGGAGCTGCCTCTTGCATGCAGCACGACGATGGTGGTGGGCATGGAAAGCAAATCGAGTAGCAACGATTGATTGGTGGCCGGGCCGAGAGTTGTTCCTGACATCGGCGCTTCAACACTCCGTCCACCGACTTCCAGGGTGACGTTGGGAACTGGCCTTCACTCCTGTACTGGTGGTCAAAGATTAACGATTCACGGTATTCCTTACGGCTTTGAGTCTGGCGTTGTCCTAGCTAGCTTCTCTTACTTTTGCATTGTCCATATCTCCTCCGCCTAACTACCGAGCTCGTCGCACGTCCTACATTCGGTGCGCCCCGCCAGATTCCATCCCCATCCGCAGCAATGTCGGCCAGCAAGGCGTCCCGCGTAGGCGAGGAGTATGTCGACCCTCGGCGCCATCTTTATCGCAATAATAACATGTATACTAACATCGTGGTAGAATCTGGAAGTACGCGAAAACCGAACGATCCTTGGCGCAAATGTTTGTCTGACTTGGAATCACAGAACCCGAATCGACAAGGTCAATGCTGAGCTGGTCACATTAACATACGGAACCATCGTCGCACAACTCTGCAAAGACTACGAGAGCGACTATGTTGAGGTCAACAAGCAGCTCGAAAAAATGGGCTACAATATTGGGCTGCGACTCATTGAAGACTACCTTGCCAAGTCCAATACCATGAAGCGATGCGCCAACTTCCGCGAGACGGCCGAGATGATTGCTCGCGTATGTGCGCATCATAAATATGGAAAAGAAGATATCTAACAGGATCTCAGGTCGGATTCAAAATCTTCCTCAACATTACACCCCAGGTTACAAATTGGACGAGCGACAACGACCAGTTCTCGCTTGTGTTTGAAGAGAACCCATTGGCCGACTTTGTCGAGCTTCCCGACGACGGACGAGCACAAGATCAACTCTGGTACTCCAACATCCTGTGTGGCGTACTCCGTGGGGCTCTAGAGATGGTGCAGATGCAAGTGGAGGCTCACTTTATCAGTGATATTCTCAGGGGCAACGACAGCACCGAGATGAGGGTTTCGCTGATTCGATACATCGACGATGAGCTGCCGCCTGAGGATGACTGAGCCTGTCAAGGACAGCCAAGACAATGATTGGATGGAAACCGCGCAGAAGACGATCGGCAGGTCAAGCCCTTTATTCATAACGGAACTATGGAGGTCATCTACGACAAGCCGCTACACAGCATCTATGACGATCTGGTGCCGATCAGGGCAATATTCTAAACAACCTGAGATGGATGGGCAAGATGCAATTTTGAGTGTAGAGCTAGGGATCATGGCACGTGTAGATACCCATAGAAGAGGCCGGCTGTCAGCCACGTGCGAGGCTAAGGAGAGGCGCATACCTCACCCTCGAGCGCTTCACGCTGGCGCATATCAAGATCAAGTTATTTGAAGTCATAGAACAACTTGATGGAATTCATTGCAATGCCGGAACAGGAAGAGCAATGCCAAGTCAAGTAGACAATTCAGCCTGGTGCGAGCAATCTCAACCCCGCCGGATAAACAGAAACAGTTGATGTCAGGTTGCTTCGGATTACACGGATAGATCGATAAGGACCCCCGCGAAAGGGGACCACGATACAACACAAGTGGGTTAGAGCAGCCCAACCGACGGGACGGGATGGATTGTCAGTGAGACAAGATTTGATAGTGGAGGTACATCTCAGAAAACGGACCCAGTGGAAACTCATGCCAGAATGACGGCCACTCAATGTGCCTGCCTCAGGCAACTGGGGCTACTTTTCACCTCCCTTTTCACCTGCAGTCTCAAGAATACGCACCCTGGTTTGAGATTTACGTACCTGCGCAAGCAGGCATGGCGTCCCAGCCGCATGGGAGACACCCGCCTAGAAGAGCCTAGAAGGCCAGGCTCCATCAGGGTCCTGTGGGGTGACGCGATTGCTGGAGCGTCAAGCCCCTGAAGAGCGGGCCTCTTCCCGTACCAAGCTCCCAGGGCCAAGCGCGCTGAATCCCGTGCATCTCCCACTGAAGCTCACTGGACTGGATGAGCCTCACAGGGCAGTCACGGTCGGGTCGGCGTCTAAAGCTCCTTCCATGCCGGCCGAACGCGGGTCTGGAGAGTCCTGGGGCTGATCCAGCCTCTTTTCTGCATGGGCTTGTATCAGCTTCAGCCTTGGAGTCTAAGCGATTGTCAATCCGCAAAACAATACTGAAAGAAAGGAATAAAATAAAAAGAGATTGATTGAAAGATACACATCAATGGCTTCAGAAAATGATTTTATTGTCTTCAATTCACCCAGAGATCTATCGGAAACCATCCCGATGTCTCCTCCCTTTAACTGCATCTTCTCCCTTAAACTCATGATCGACCCGACCCCTTAGCTGCAAGGACTCAGAGGCTTGTGGATCTGCCCCAGGCCCAAGGCTTCAGCAAGTCCAGCCTTGTCATTTCGCCTTTTGCCTTTTTGGCGCAAGTATTTGTGTACTTACTTGTAAATTGCTTGCGTCTAGCCGTTTAACGGAACGAGACGCATCACCACCGTTCCGGGTCAAGCCAACAATTAAAATGTAAAAAGTCGTTCAAGAGATGCCGTAGACAGGACGACCAAGAGAATCATCCAATTGGGAGGCCAAAATAGGGAGGGAATGGAAGGGAACAGCGAGCAAAAAAGTTTCTCGTCCTCCCACCGCCCCAACCCAACCAGCGACCACGTTTTTTCGCCCACAAGTGTCTTGCTCCCTCTCACACCCTCTCCCCGTTGATTACTCTCCTTCTTCCTCCTCCATCACCTCACTTTGCTCGGCTTAGTGCCGCCTCGGATTTTGCGACTTATCTGCGAGCGCGAACCTCCTCAAGTTCCCCTCGACCTCAGATCAGACAGACGAGACAAGGACGGCTTTGACTGGGTCTCTCGTCTCTTTCAGCCGCCCTCCACTCAGTGCCCGTCGGCAGCGTTTGAGCCTCTCCGTTTGCTCCAGTCAGTGCCGGTACGGTACCTTCGCGCTCAGGTACCTTACATACGGTAGCGAGGTACCTGTCCGACCTTGGGGGCGGTTCCGCTGGCTTCTCCGAGTTGCGCTACGGACCCAGAAGTACCTGCGATTCGCGTGCGTCTCCCGCCGGACCACAAGTACCCTCCCACCCCTGGCAATCGCCCGACCCCAGTCACGTTCTTTTTTTCTGGCAGAACCCAGCGCTGTCCTGCACTGAGCAACTGAGGCAGGCCATCGCCTCAGGCAAGGGACAAGCCCGGCGCCCACTTTCCACTCCCAGTTACCTCGACACTCCGCCAAATCCAACCTACACCACCACCCGACACCATACCTACTCATTCTCATACTCCCCCCCAACTCATCACCGCGACATCGACTCTCGGTCGACCATCGCATCGCCGTTGCGGCTTCGCTCTTTTTCATTTCTTCTCTCAGCTCGCCCTTCATCATCGACGATTGCCGACACGAGACACGATCCTCCCAATTCCCGCTTCCTCCCACTCGCCTCTCATCTCCCAGTCTCGCGATCCTCGCGACCCTCGCCCCCCGCCCGACCGCGCGCCTCACATCTTGGACCGCGTCCACGGGTCCTCAGCTTGGGACTCCTCCGCGCCTCGTGGGATCGCTGCCCGTCACGTCCACGTCGGGAGGCTGCCCAGCGCCGCTCCGCCTGGTGGCACGTCCCCGTGGCTACACGAGCCCCCGACTGCTGCTGCCGCCATCGTCGCCGCCGCAGCAGAGCCTTTAGGCCTCTCACTGCTTCTTCTCCTGTCGTCTCCTAACCTGCCATGGCCATGAATCCAAACGTTAACATGGCCAACATGAACCCCATGGGCGGCCCTGTTGGCGGTGCCCCCATGCCCATGATGAACAACGGCGCCATGAACCCCCAGGCTGCTGCTGCCGCTGCCGCCGCCGCCGCGTCTCGCCAGCAGCAAGCAAATGACAACCAGCGCAGTATTCTCAACACATACATCTACGAGTACTTTATCCGCATGGGAATGTACGACTGTGCCCGTTCGCTTCTGTCGAGCGACCAGCAGGTCAACGTGCTCAAGGATGGCGCGAACCGCCGTCGCGACGAGAACGGCAATCTCATCAACGGAGTCGGCGACGACCCCATGGACACCGACTCCAAGGACGATATCGACGCCAAGCTCCCCGACGATCTGCCTCCGCCGAAGCTCCCCATGCCCGCCTCCGATACCTCCTTCCTGTACGAGTGGTTCTCTGTCTTTTGGGACATTTACTACGCGCAGCGCGCCAAGAGCAACAACAACACCATTAACCAATATGTTGCGCACACCCAGGTATGCTTGTTTTCTTGAGTTGTCTCCGTCAGTTGCTGCCATACCGAGCATGCCATCGTTGGTTGTCTTGCCTCCTATCGAGAATTGAGTCAACCGCGCTGGCTGCTCGTGTCCCCCTAACATTTGGTAACCACTTTCGCTGGTGGCCAATGCTGACCCTCGGTGGCGATGTAGCAACAGTCCCGGCTAAAGCAGAATCATCAGCAGGAACTTCTGCGCCAGATGCGACCAGACATGGCCCAACAACAATACCAAATGATGCGAAACATGCAGAATGGCAACATGGCTGCCATGAACATGAAGCAGCCTCTTGTCCGCACCGCCATGGCTAACGCCAACAAGTAAGCATTTCTGTCTGTAGCTTGACAACTAAGCTGACTGTTTCACTTAGCCCTCAGATGCAGATGGTCCAGCAGGCCAAGCAAAACCAGATGCAACGAGACCCCTCCGGCATGGACGGCCGAGACAGACCCTCCTCTCCGGCTTCTGGGGAGAACGCTCCGTCGCCGTCCAAGAGACAACGTCTCGAAGGTGGCCAATTCAACCCTAACCAGCCCGGCATGATGCCTAACGGCCGTCCGGGTCAGGGTATGCCTGGACAGCAGATGCCCGGCGGTCCTAACGTCGCCGCCGCTCAGCAGATGCTTACCGCAAATGGCATCAACCCCAACACGCTACATCCGCAGCAGCTGCAGACATTTGTAAACGCCCCTCCCGCCGCCCAGCAAAAATCGATTGCCACTTACTCTCAGAACCTCCAGCAGCATCACGGAACCCAGATGGGAGGCAACAAGATGCCTAATGCCCCTCAGGGACAGGGATCACCGATGATGGCTCAGGGCCCCGACGGAACCGCTCTCAACGCATTCTACAACCCGGGTGAGATGGGTGGCCCAGGCGGCATGCGGCCGGGGCCCAACGGTCCTCAGACTGCCGGGGGCAGTAACCATGCCCTCCAGGACTATCAGATGCAGTTGATGCTCCTCGAGCAGCAGAATAAGAAGCGACTCATGATGGCTAGGCAGGAGCAGGATACTATCGGCAACGGTATGCCCAGAGAAGGCGGCCCCGGCCAACCAGGTGGCCCTCCAGGACCTAACGGACAATTCCCAGACACATCTCCTCAAGCCATGCGAGCCGGCGCCTCACCCAACCCTGCTGAGCAGATGAAGCGCGGTACACCCCAGATGAACAACTCTGGCATTCCTTCGCCCGTCCCCGAGGGCGGCCAGTCTCGTGGCTCTCCCAACCCGGCGATGAACTTTATGAACAACCACGTGGAACCTGGTATGGCACCTCACTTCTTTAAGGGAATGGAGGGCGGTATGGCTGGTCAACCACCTATGAACGGTAACATGCGACCTCCCAGCTCGCATCCTGGCCAGCCTTTCAATGGACAAATGACGCCGCAGATGATGGCACAGGCACGTCAACAAGCAGCCCAGCAGGGTCAGCCAGGACAAGGACCTCAGGGTCAGCAATGGCAACAGGGGCCAAATGGTCAGATGGTACCTCAGCAGATGCAACAGGCCAGCCCTCAAATTCAAGGAACGCCCCAACAGCGATCAATGCCTCCTCCTCAGGCACCACCGGCGAACGCCAACAACCGGACGACAGCTTCGCCTCAACAACCAGCGGCTGCTCCGCCTACCCCTAGTCAGACTAACAAGGCAGCACCCAAGAAGAAGGAATCCAAGGCGGCCAAGGACAAGGTAATTCGCTTTGACTCTATGCTTGTGATTTATACTGACAAATCTTGTAGCGTACTGCTGCTCAGAAGAAGTCGAATCCCAACCTCAACAACGCGGGTGCTACTCCCTCTGGTGACAACAATGACCAACAAGAGACGCCTACGCCTGCAACTCCCATCAACGCCAACGCCAACCTCAAGAACGGACAGGCTGGGAACAACCAGCCTACCACAGCACCTGCCCCTGCTCCTCCCGCAGCTGCAACCAGTGCTCCTCCAGCTCCGCCAGTGGCTCCTCAGGGCCACGACCCTAACCAAAACATGGCCATGGATAACACCTTTGGTGGCATGGTATGTGCAATGTTGCGAATAGTGTCAGATAAGATTGCTAACCATGAATGCAGTTTGATATGGGTCCTAGCATGGAGCTGGCAAATCCCATTGACGGCAGTAACGTGCTCAACGACTTTGACTTTGACTCGTTCCTCCACGATAATGACGGAGACAACGGGGCCTTTACCTTCCCGGAGGCGTTCTCGATGGACAACGAGATTGGAGCGGATTAATGGCACTTGCGAAAGAGTTGGGTCGGCATTACGCATCTTGGGTCACACTTAATCAGGCATCATTCGTCACGGCGTTTTATGTGGAAACTATATCATGGTCATGCGGCGATAGGTCTTGGAGGATTTCCCTCCTCCGTGGTGGCTTCAGGGGAAAAGAGCCTCTATTGTTTTTGTTTTGTGATTTGTTGTCAGTTGTTTACGTTGGCTGGGGTGGTAGTTGATGGATGGATGGATGGATGTATGTTGTGGTGGTGGTGGCGGAGGTGTTGTTGCCGTCAGTCGTTTCGTTGCTCAAGCTGGTTCCCTACTAAAGCTCGTTTCGACACCCCCTTTTGCGTTGGCTTTTCCTTTGGGACTCATTCACACGCTCCTCGCACGTCTCCTTTTCTTTCTACTTGTGTGGACCTTTTTTCTTGTCTCTTGTCACTGGTTTGATTTGTTTTTTTTTTTGGGTTCGTTTGGGGTGGTCTCTGTGAAGAAGAGCAAGAAAGCAAGAGATGAAGTCAGTTCAGTTGGTTGGGATTCATGGCTGAGAGCCATTTTGTGTAAAGTGTTGTTGGTTTATTACTGGGTGTATCGATGTTGGCGAAAAATCACATACCACGTTTGCATTTTATTAGTTGTTTTTCTCTCTATCGTTGAAGCAGGAATAAAAACTTCTAGTTTCACTACTTGTTCGTGATGCAGGTGAAGTATGCATGACGCATTGAGAGTCTGTCACTGATTCATGCTGTAATGACACCATCTCAATGAGTCAACGATTATGCCTCTGCTTAATTGCAGTCATAAATTTCGTGGTTTTTCTTTACCATCTACCTAGATATCTACACCAATTCCGTTGCGCCAGCGTTTTCATGTGGGGGGGTATCTATAAGATTCTAAGACAAAGAAAAGAAACATGACAAAAGCTGGTTATAAACAGAGGCGCTCAAAACACGGTAATCGTGAGCTCTTGCAAGAGACTTGTCAACGATGTACTGTGTACTCGTGGTAATACACGAGTGTGAAGAAGAATCAAGGAGGCGCAGCCGAAGCTAGCAAGAGAAGCAGAGACAATATCGGCCGACGTGCTCGTCTATGTGGTTTCGTAGACGGCGACGTAGGCAACTTCGAGCATGTTTTCGTAGCCATCCTGAGTAGCACCGTTGGGGTCACCCTATATCTTTGTTAGTGTAAGTCTTTCGGATGTGTCTTTGCTGAGAACTTACAGGCCAGTTACCGCCAACAGCAACGTTGAGAAGGATGTACATGGGAGAGTGAGCAAGAGTAGCCCAAGTTCCCTCGTCACCAAGTTGAGCACCAGTCAGGGAGTGGAAGGGAGCTCCGTCAAGCAGCCAGTGGATGCTCTCCTGCTGCCAGTTGCCAGCCCTCCTGTCCACGACGATGGACCAGGTGTGGAAGCTATTGTCGGGAATGGGAACAGCCTGTCCGAGGCCTTCGGGCTCGTTGCAAGGACCGCCGCCCTCGTGGCCGCAGTGGACAGTACCGTAGCCGGTGAGGTCACCGTTGACTCGCTCAAAGATGTCAAGCTCACCGCAGAGGGGCCACTGAGTACCCTTACGCATAGAATCGCCGAGCATCCAAAACGCAGGCCAGATACCCTGCTTGTTGGCAGCTTCACCGGTTCGCAGAGCAGCTTCGACACGCATGGCCTTGCCCTCGGGGGCATGCCATGCCTTCTTGGACTCGAGACGTCCAGACGACCACTCGCCGTTGGACTCCTTCCAGGGCACCAGCTGCAGTGTGTGACCACCCGAGAGTTGGATGTTGCGGTTGGACTCGGTGTACTCCTGAAGCTCGTTGTTGGTGTTGATGTTGAGAGCCACGTTCCAGTTGGACTGACTCGGGGCACAGCCCTGGCATCCGTTGAAGTCGTCCTGCCAGACCACCTTGAAACCAGGACGGTTGGGGCATTGAATGGCCGAGGCGAAAGGAAGGACGCTGGCGAGGAAGGGGAGGAAGTTTCGCATGTTGATTGTCGATCTTCGGCTTTTGTGGTGAAGGTCGTGTAAGTCGGGAATGACTTAAAGGTGAAACTAGCCCGTGCGGAAGAAGGTACAGATCGACTGTGTAAGAATGTCTTAAGAATAGACCAAAAGAAGCTAAATAGCCTGAAGAAAGAAGCAAAAGAGTCACAGCCCGTGAAAAGATGTCCAAGTTGTTGAATGAGGGTAAAACGCCTCCTGGGCTAAAAGGAAGGTAAACCGAAGAAGGCGGTTGGATATTTGTTTGCAAAAGAAAGGAAGGGAAGGGTCGAGATATGAATATCAAGACCTGGTCAAGGTAGGGAACGTATGAAAGGAAACAAATCACAAAAAAATGGGCTGGACTCGAATGGTGGTGAAGCGAAAGAGTGGCTGGCGGGGGAGGCACTGGTATGTGGATGTTTTTATATCTACGCTACAAAGATGGGAAACCTTGAAATCTACCAACAAGTCTTAACCCCCGAAGAGGAGTGGAGAAGGGAGATGGGCAAACGAGATGCAGGACCAGTCCAAGGTGTTTTGGCCTTGGTTATAGAGGCCCCCCGGCGCATAACACATCGCCCCCCGGAGCTAGACATGGGGGGGGAGGAAGAAGAAGGGACGATAACAAGGTCCCCCGGGAAGAGAAGGCATGAATGGATAAAAGTAAACTGCTACCCAAGCAAGTAGAAGTGGGAACGAACGTTCGAGGTCCAGAATGAAAAAGCCAAGCGCGGTAAACTCGTGCTTAGCGGGTGATGATCAGGGACCAGACCTCGGACTGTGATATGATACGTACGATACGCACGATACAACAACGGAGAATAGGCCTTTAATTCGTCAAGGGTGTCTTCCGGATTGGGCTTGTAAGAAACATCCCAGCGGGAACGGAGGTTCCGGGGGTGTGGACCGGAGTACACCAGTGTCTTTGGGAATAAAACCCGGGCATTGTGTGTGGCGACGCATGATTGGAGAACTGGCGCTTTCTCTTGGGAAATTTCAATCAGGGGCTGCATTCATGTAGGATTCGCCATGAGTGCACAGCAGTTGAAACGCCGCCAAGTGGGCAAACACAACGACTCAATTCATGCTCTCTTTTCTTCACTCTCTTGGCTGAAGCATATTACAATCTTGGCCTGATCTTGGCCTTGGAGACAAATGCGTAAAAGAGGCGTTCGCAGGGGAGCGCTTTACCGCCGCCACCCCGTTCCCCTCTGGAATGGGCCGCGCAATTAATTTGTCTGGACCTACAGGGACATGTCACTCCTCCACGATACCCATGATGTGAAACGGGACAAGAGTCTTGTCAAGTGTGCGCGGCTTAAAAAGGGGCGCCAGGGGTTGTGTTGGCTGATGTGCAGGCGCGGCTTCAATGGCATTGTCAAGCCAAGACCATCAAAACGTTTGATCATGGAGAGTCGAAGCGTAGATATGAATAGTTAGCTTAATCTATCCTTTCCTTCTTGAGCATCTGTTTCTTTAAATATTTTAAAGTCTTTATTTTTGGATCTGCTTTGTTCCTGTGCCTTTTATCGTATCAATCGATTCTATTCCCCTTTTAGAAAAGCGCCATCTCACTCGCCATGCACGCTCTTTGGCTCGAGGTTCCTCTACCCTACAGAAAATCGGGCATTTGACTTTTGTAGCGGTAGATCCTCCATGATTTATCCCGGTAAACTTTCTACATCGCCAAGAGAAAATAAATGAATCCTGTAGACGATCGACAGGTGTCAAAGTGGACCACGTTGAACTCTTTCTTTTGTGCTTAATCTATTGTATGTGTGATTGCTTCTTCAACAACTCACCCTCCCCGAATGTTTCACCACTAGTGTAAATGAGACTTGAAGCGGTGTAGCCAACCAGAAGCTCAATATACCCTGAGAAAAAAACCTCTTGTTTGACCATTGATGCTGGGTGAGTTGGCAGCCTTAACCCCCACCAAGAAACCTGAAACAATGCACCTCTCGCCACCTTGACTTGCAGCATTAAGCATGCTCTTTATCGCTTCGCACGTGTCCCGGTGAAAATGGTTCGAGACTCTTGGGTTTGTCTCTTTCAGGTTGGTCAAGTGTGATACCTGTTCCTCGGCACTGCAGCCAAGCCTTCACCGTATCCAACAGCTCACAGGTCGCCCTGTCATGTCGCTGCCACCTGAATTTGCCTTTGTACGTCGTAGGTTGAGTATCCCCGGGTCTTAGTCGTCAGACATTCGGATCGGGTCAAGCTCACCGAGTCTCTCGTTGAGCTGTACAATCGTCTTTTCAAAGACGCGAGCTGCATCCATCTGCAACCTCATCTCGTCGTCATCCTCGACACCGCCCCATCCGTTGACTCCAGTGTCTGTATCCGCGTCCGCATCCATGTCCATGTCAGTATCGCTTTCTGACTCTTCCTCTTCTTCGTCGTCCTCGGCGGGGTCGGTCATCATCTCAACCATCAAGACACGACACTGGTCGACAAGGCTTCGGCAGCGAATCATCTCTGTGGTTGTCATGCCCCCACGCAACCCATTCTCAAAACCGGGTAGTGACTCGTTAGTCTCAATGTCCTTCCCAACTAAAAGACTCGAGAAGCAGTGATCTAGCTTGCGAAGAAGCGCGAACGAGGCCTTGGGCGAAGGTGGAAACCCTCGTACGTATCGCGTAAAGTCGCTTGTGAGACGTAGCAAGAAAGGTATTTGAAGAGTTGCTGCCCAATGAATGTTAGCATGTTTCAAGCAGAATGACCAGTGAACTAACGTGTGCCCGATCGCCACAACACATTGATAACGCTGTCCAGATTTCGGCAGACCTCGCTGAATTTCTTATAGCCAATAACCGAGTCCCCAGCCGCAGGTGTGCTAAACTTCTTGACGTATCGTCTTGAGGCCAGCGTGAGTTGCTCTTCCGCGAATCTCCGAACTGTGTACTCCTTGCGGCCGTTAGGCACTAGAGCTTTGGTCCTTGGCGAAGGAAGACCGGGGATATTTGTCGCAAAGGATGATGCTGAAGAGGGAGCTGGAGAAGGAAGGCCGCCGACTTGCGGCGGCAAGAAACCACCTGGGCCGGGAGAGTTCATGTCGCTGGACATGATGTTGAGTGACGAGTATTAAGTAAGTGTGTCGAAGAAGAGAGGAAAAGTGAGAAGCCGCGATGTCGGTGTCAAGATTGAGATTATTAATGGATACGCGATTGATGTAAGAGGAGAGAGTTGGAGGGGAGCGGGAGGAAGGTGTTCCTTTAATGGTCCATCTTTCTTTGTCCTTGTGGTTTGGTTCAGAGTTTAAAGTTGGTTTTTGTGAAGCAAGGCGACCAGTTTTTACAGCGAAATTCGGTTGATTGGGAATATGTAGGTCACGATATCGGAAAACCGTCTTTCTAAAGAGTCGTAGTTCACGATCGCACCCCGCGAAGAGGATGACGGAGGCCTTGATGATGCTCAGTCATGGTGGGGTAAGCATGAGTGAAACGGTACGTCCTCCGGTGACTCCATCCAATGATATGGGTGATTAGGCGCTAATCATGTGACTTTAGCCGCTATCGCCCATAGCCGCGTTATCGGCCCTCCGCATTGGAAAAGCTTCAATCCAAGTGTATCCGAAAATTTCCCCCCATCGACGAACATCGAAGAATCTCCATCACCTCCGCGCGAATCCTCTCCGACACCGCAGTCGCGATAACCTTTGTCTCCTCGACACGTACCGACACACTTAATAAAAATGCCTCCCAAGCGAATCTACGTCGAGAAGGCCTCCCGCCGGGCCCCCAAGGGTGTCCTCGCCTCCACTTATGACGCTCTTACCTCTTCCGAGAACGCCGCCTTTGTCCGCAGCATTGCCATCTTTGGTGTAAGTTCTGGTTTCCCTCGCTGGAATATGAGAAAGCGACGAGAAGTAAGAGACTGACGCAATGGTTCAGGCCGCTGTGACATTCCTCTCTAGCTCTTGGGGCGAGATCCTCCTGCCTCCGTAAGTCGGCCCTAGCCCAACAGCTTCGTCAACGAGCAATATCTGACCCGAGCGCAGCCAGTAAATAGCTCGCACCAATTGCGCGATCGATGAATTAAAAGAGGCGGATGATCATGACATGGGGGTCGCGAGGAGACGTGCTCCCCCACCATGAGACAAATAATCAACAACATTGTACATTAGATGCAAACGGGGTGTCCGCTTAGACAGATGGGATTTCACGACGACCCTGTGCCTGTGCCTATCGGAAAGGGAAAAAGGGCATTCATGATATGAAGGGCAAGAGAAATCAACATGGCCATTGTGGCTGACTTTTTGGTTATGACACAAAACAAACAACAATTCTTCTCTTGCTTTTTTGCTTTGTGTTGGAAGTTTGTTCGCGACAAGCTTCACATGTTGCATCTTCACCGTGGTAACCTAACGGCGATGTCGGCCGTTGAGAGAGTTCGTGCCTGCCAAAACAACACTTTCTATGGGAGGCAGGGGCGATTCTGTCCCTCTTATCGCAATTACACTGCACCCTCACGCTGGCCATGGAAAACTGATTCTTTCAGCTTCATGTTCAATCCTCATCCTTGCAATAGATTTTGACGGCATCACACTTGATACTTTCTAGTATCACCAGGCGACCATCTTCAGCAGCGTTATCAATCAACAACAACACCTTGAAAGCTGTACTTGAAGACCCAACATGGCTACGCCGACGTCTCCTTCGATGCCCCCCTCGCGCAATATCATCTCTGATGGCTCAGACGATCGCAGCCGAATGGCTGGCAACACTTTCGCTCAACTTGTCTCGAAATTCGAAATCCTCGATGCCATGTCTTCGGCGAGTACGCGAAGGGATTCGCATGTTCCTCCTAGGGCCGTACCAGTTGCTGTCGCCGCTTCTCCAGCAATCACCGGACACAGTCCCATGAGATCATCAATTTTCAAGGCTAGAGACAGAAGCTCTACAGACTCTAGCCTCATATCTCCAGGCTGCTTCGTCCCTCCAAGACGAATCTCTCCTCGTCCTCGTCGTGCCCAAACGTTTGACAAGATGCCTGTTACTCCAGCCACAGTTGAGAGTACGAAACCAAGACAGAAGTCTGTGGCAGAGAGAAGAAAGATGTTTGAAACGCAAGAAGATGCCCCTGGTGAGCTATTGACGTTGACCCAACTCTTGGGCATTAATGTCACTGACTGCGACATAGCTTCCTCAACGCCTGTACGAGCATACGCCGGCGCTCGCTCAACTTCAAAACTGGCCCATTCCAAGAGCTGGAAATCCATCAAAACAAGCCGGTCTATTCCAGAATCACATCTCGAGAGCACGACTCCTCCCCCGCCTTCCAATGCGACTGACAAGGTACAACGACACATACCAAGTCACGATCAAGATTCGGCTTCAACACTTCTTCCAGCATCCTCGGCAGATGAGCACCCTTACCGTCATTCTCTTGCCCCTGAAGAGCCATTTGGCACATGGTCAAAGCCGATTATCCACCCGGACGAACGATGGATGGCCCTAAAGCGTGAGAGCTTTGCTGTAACCGCACTCGATACGAGTCCCAGCTACGTCAAGTCTCAGTACATTGAACCAGAACTGGACTCCCCTCGCTCCTCGTTGAAGAGCAATGGCAATTTCAATCCTGACCATCGCCGTGACGGACCGGAGAATGGGCAATCCATGGACCAGACCGTGCAGCATGGTTGGATACAGAATGCTCAGAAGATGGCACACTCCCTATCCAGCCCAGCATTAGCCGGAACAGCCAAGTCAGGATTGTCTCAGCCTCGGGAGAGTCCTCGAATTTCTGCAGACGCCATAAGTGCGTTCAGATCCTTCCAGTTTACGAGAACCGGTGCCTTCAGACGATCCAACTTGCCCCGGTCCAGAATATCAAGCCTTCGAAAGAAGTTTGACTTGCCCAAGAGCGAATCCGTTTCTTCTCTCCCGGCTCTTGCAGCAAAACGACGAGAAACTGACTCGAACAAAACTGAGAACTCCGACTGGCCATCAAAGCTCTCTCTCCCCAAGTCGGCTACTAATCCAAACCTTGGCACAATGGCTTCACTCGCGTCACGATCCAAGAGCTTCGCTCCTCGTTGGAGAGAGAAATCTGTCCGTCAACCACAAACCCCTCCCCAAAGGCGCAAAACGGAGCACAATGTTTCGCCATTGAAGCAGAAGATTGACCTGTTTGAATCCCTCGACCGCAAAAAGCCTGCCTCAAACCCAGCAAAACTGAATCCTGCAAAGAAGCGTTCTGTGTTTGGTAGCCCCCGAACAAACACATCTGGCTCAGGCCCGTTCAAGGGGCTTCGGAAAACTCTGCGTCGTATCTCTACTTCTTGTCGCAAAAGCACATCTGAATGGAGCACCACAAGCTCCAGACCTGGAAGTGGCTCTCAGCACAGCATACAAGACATTCCTGGGGATTCTATCAAGCATCGCGCCATTGCAGACTCTGAGCTAGACTCTCTTTCACCTGGCACTATTGAGTCCATTCCCGAGCGACCAGTCTTGGGTCAAACTCGCCTGGAGAACGAGATCTCTCCCCTTGATCTGGGTAAGAGATTCTCAGTGCAACGCACTACTGTGCCTCTTACGGCATACAACATTGATGGTGAGCCTGGCCTAAGTCCTGTGGCAGCGGCACCAGCCCCTTTGTTCTCAGAATCCCAAAGCAGCAGGTTCTTTAGGACAAAGATGCCCCTTATTCGAAGTTCGGACCGATTTTCCCTTCCGGAGTTTGGAAACCACTCCGAAGAAGCTGATGTTTTCGGGCCTACCCATTACCATCACCTTGGAAATCACGGTTTGCTGATCTCAAAGGTGCATTGCCGATTGGAGCAGCCCAAGCCGGTGCGTGCTAGTGAGTTGAGAAGACTGGTCGGAATATGCAAGCAAAAGGTTCGGAAGTTGTCGGCTGGTGGAAGTGAGTAGCTACAAAGACAAGGCGAGTTGATTGGGTATGGATGGCATTATGTAGGCGTGACTGTGATTCTGCGGTTGTACTGCACCGCTTATGTAGTAGATAATGAACTCTTACAATTAATGTCCCTGTTCTTTCATCCACATTGATGTTATGACTGACATTCACGATCATTGAGAGTAGTGATTCCATCAAGGATTGTATTGGCGCCTGCGCACTTTACTATGTATCTTTTTGACTAAAGCAACAAATGTTAAACTGCGATATCCCTCAAGTAAACATGAATGCATGTGCTTGCGAATGAGAACAAAGAACTAGAGATGCGACAAAGGTCGAGCATCAGGGGAATCAATCTGAGATTGTCGCATGTCATTAAAATGAACAAAAAAGAAGAAACTGTGAGGTCTTGGGACCTTCCGATACGCCGCGCTACTTGTTTGTGTCCGTTGAGTGTGCAACACGCCCAACGCCAGAACGAAAAAGACAGTGTGTGTGTGTGTGTGTGTGTGTGTGTGTGACAAAGCTCGTGGTAGACGAATCTACTAGACTCGTTCCTCGTGCTGCGTGAGGTTCCGATCGATACGAACATGAGAGTCCGAATCATACTTTCCGAGCTCCAGATCGACGGGGTTCATGCGGTCACGAGACGACATGCCAGCCTCGCAGCGAGCAAAGACAGCCGGAGCACGCTCGACGGTGGTTGCGGTGCGATGGGTGCTGAAGCTGGACGCCTTGAGGGGGACCAGGGAGCTTCCGGCGCCGCGTCCACTAAAGCTGGCGTTGTAGCGGACGCTCGAGTCGCCGGCGGACGAGTAGGAAAAGTTGGAGCCGTTTTGAGCCATGCGCTGGGCTGTGAGGGTGCCCATGGGGAGGATGATGGCGACAGAGGTGAGGGTCAGGGAGGCGGATTCGAAGTTGATCCAGTGGCCCCATTCCAAGCCTGCAAAGATGACTGTACGTTTGTTAGTTACTAAATCATACTGATTTAGGAAGCAAGTAGACTTACCGGGAACAATCATAAGGATTCCGTTGGTCATGACGAGCACCTCCATCGGGGTCAAGGCCTTGTAAGAAGGGAGAACACCACGGTTCGAGACGAGGTGCCAGATGAGCTTGATGTTGAAGATGACGCAGAACCAGCTGATGGACAAGACATTCATCACCACCATCCAGTGAATAAGCCATAAATTGTTTGACGCCGGGGCGAGGCTCAGGTTGGCCTTGTTCTGGTGGACGGTAAAAGCGATGCGGGAAGCGATAGTGAGAAGCGTGATGATGCCCGAGGACACGGCAATGACATACTTCCAAACATCGGGCCAGAGGGAGACCATGGTCCAGGCCTGGTTCATGAGTGCAAGCTCGATGATGATGACGAGGAGGAGCGACATGACATTGGCGGCGACGCTGCGAGCAAATTCACTCTGGGGAATGTGAGAGTAGTCCCTAGCCCAGAAGTGGTAGAAGTCGGTAAAGACGGAGGGCCAGTAGAGGCCCAGGAGGAGCATGCGGATGGCGCAGACGACGAGGCCCAAGACGTGAAGGATGTTGGAGGCTCTTTTGAACTTGGCCGCGGGGGTCATGATGAGAAGAGTGATGAGCATGATGACACAAGCGCCAAACTGAGTGCCGTAGTTGATGCAGATGCTGGTGATCTCGCGGCGGAATGCATCGAGCACGGGCATGGGGATCTGCACCTCTGTCTTGCCGTCAGCAAGGAAGAAGGTGACGTTTTGCGTATATGGGTCAAAGCCGTCCATGGTGTCTGTTGTTTGCTGATAAGAGTCGGTGATGTCGAAGCTTGGTGGTTTAGGTCCGAGTGATGATGGGGCATAGACTCTAATGAAGAAGCTCGGAGGGTGCACGACAAAGAAGGATGGTGTTGAAAGATATAAAGATCAAAGCTCAGGGGGTAGGGGTAGAAGTAGAGGGGGGCAGTGAGAAGGGAAATATCTCAAATTGTCAGACAGATAGGTCCAAACAATACCGGCTGAGGCGATTCAAGAGCTTGAAGCGGTATCATTCGGGCGTGGCAGCGGTCGTGGCATCTTGGTTGACGACGGATCACAAAAGCCAAGACGAGGGGGGGAGAGGTTCTTGTCCCGTTCAGGACAATCGCTAGCGAACATATTGTTAGCAAGCAGAAAACAGAGGTATATCAGATTCAGTTTCATCACATCTCCCAAGCAAAAAAATGGTGCATGCCAGGGTCGGCGGGGGTGAGGTTGGTCTTAGTATTGTTCCTGAGTTTGGTGGCGTTGCTTCTTAGTATTGTTCCCGTAGTGAGGCTTGCTGCGAGGCTTGAAACTAGCCCCTTTTGGTTCGATCGCGGGCTTAGAGATGGGACCGTGCATATCTTGACAGCCATGGTGCCTCAAACTGACAGGTCCAGAGCCTCTTGTGCCTCAACGGCCCTCTCGAGATGGGTGCGATGCGTGCTATTTGCAGCTTTGCTCCGTGCACGCCAACTGCCGAGATCAGTCCAAATCGGGGATCCTCCGTTGCTGGAGGTCTCGATCGCCCTGCCGCCTCTCCGACCGCCCTGCAAGTGCAAGCCCTATCGGACATGGGCTACGCCGACAGCTATCAACCTCTTCCATATCGCTTCAGCCCCCTTCGTCGACAAGATGCCATCTACCCGGTCATCACCAAGTCGGTTGAAATCAAGGTTTTTCGTAATTCGCCTCTTTCTTGTCGCAATCCGCCATTCGCTTGTCCTCCCCGATCATCTCCTATCTTGTCCGCCTCTCCCTCTCCCGCACCTCCGACATCCAGATCTCGTTTCAAGCCACCAGTCACTGTCACCTCAACAATGCGAAGCGCCTCTCCACAGGGGAGCCTCATGCATGACGCTGCGCGCGGCTCGCATGCATCACGGGGCCAGGCCCATCCCCTGTCCAATCTTTCGTACCAAGGCCTTTTTCAGATACCACTCACGCGCAAGTGATCTCGTCATCTTGGCAAACACAGCCGGAGTGATGCGCCCGCGCTCGACTGCCCGCCCAAGCATGAAGATGGCGTCACCAAGAGCTCTCTCTTCAGCTACTAGCGTGTAGAGCTGGTTGGCCACCACCGTCGGCGCTACAAGCAGCTCATCCACGTCCGGCACTGGGTGGCTCTGTGAACCTTCGATAACTCCGTCGGCCTTGTGAAGTGCCTCGCGTAGAATATTGGAATTTGATGTAAGCACATTCGCTAGCTGGTTCAGTTGCCCAGCCTCGGCCTGGAAGTTAGGTATAGTCGTCAGCATCGCCGTACGCTGTGCTTGTAATCCAGCCATGCTAGACTCATTTTGCTGCCGACTGCGCATCCTGATTGCATGTAGGGTTTGAGCTAACTGCCGGAGAAGGGCATCCTTCTCGGGATTGGGGGGTATGGGAGGGGCAGCGACTGTCGTACTTGGCAATGCCAATTCTAGAGGCTCATCGAGCAAATCAGGAGGAGGAGGGGGGTTAGCAGGGACAGGCGGCTGAGGAGGTGCCTGGTTCCATGCTGGGGGTTGCGGAGGTTGCTGGTATTGCTGCTGTTGCGGCGGCATCTGCCATTGTTGCTGTGGAGGGGTGTATGATTGGGCTTCGTTCATGTATGGCGGCTGGGCAACCCTTGTCGGCCCAGGAGGTGGCATATGATGAGGTTGATATTGTTCTGGAGGCCGCGCAAGTCTTGGATCTTGTCCATTCGCGCCCGCAGCCTGGGGCGGTAGAGGAGGCGCAGAATCGTACCGTGACATCCGATTAGACTGTGCAGGAGATTTGCCCGGGATGGGAGGCAGCGGTGGCCCAGTTTGATGAGGACTAGCTGGGGTAGGAGATGCATTCTGAGGGCCCTTGGGAGGTGGAGGAGGTGGGCGCGGCTGCTCTGGCGTATGCGGATCTTGGGTTGGTGGTCGAGATGTTGAGCTCATGCCTGGAGGCAGAGGCGGGACAGGGGGTGGTGCTGTGCCAGCCTGAGGAGCTTGTGGGCGTGCTTGCTGTCTTGATATGACAGGAGGCTCTTTTGCAAAGATGTCGGTCAAGATGGCAAGAAAGTCTTGAAGGTTACTCTTCTATAGTTCAAGTCAGCAGCTGCATCGTCTATCATGAGCGCAAGTTGGTTTGTAAGGCAACGTACATCCCAAAATTCAGCCCATCCCACAAGGTACGGGTGATATACGAGACCCTGGGGGTCAACATGTTGGCCTGGGCGGATCATCATAGTCTCGGTCGGCACAACGTAGATCATGGGTGGCTCGCGCGGATATGCATGGGGGACCCATATCGAGACCGGGAAACGGTAGGTGGTTCCGCGGAAGTTGACGGGTAGGGTTCCCGAGAGATGGAGGAGCAGGGCATTGGCGCCGTGCGAGAAGGCTAACGAGGTCAGTCCGGGCATGCGACAGGTCGAAGGCCGGCGCGGAGCTGGCAAACATAGCTCTCGAAGCTCGCGTGCGCTGGAGGAGACGTACTGTGCACATCGGTCCGAGGCGATAGCGTGGGATATCGGGTGAGGGCTTGTGCTACATCGTTGTAGGCGCGATTCACGTCGTGATATTCCTGTCAGGTCGCGTCGAGTGTCAGCCCTTGGACTTGGCGGTCCGGTTATGAAGGTGGCTCAGGTCATGAGCGGGGGAGCAGGAGATGCGAGGGAGGGAACAAACACTCGTGAGGACGCTGTAGAGCCAGTTCAGCACATGCTGCTGGACAGGCATCGTGACCCTGGCCCTGGATTATGTCGGCGCGTGGTGGGAGGTAGAGGTTGAAGGGAAAGGGAGCTATTCACACCTGACCTTGGAGGTCGTCGTCCTTGTCGTCGGGCGTTGGTGCGTGCGTCCTGTGGTGGTAGGAGCGACCTACGTAATTGAGTACGTACCGTGCACCTTCCTAACTAGAACCGAACCGCGGATAGTGGGGGTGGGGGTTGGAGTGCGGAGATGGAAGCGCTGGACCGAAATGCTTGGAGGGACCGTTTAATTATTTTTTATTGATCTGTGAGCTAATTAAATATGTAATCGAAGTCTAGATGAACCACTCGAGTTGCCAAAGTGGTTATCTAGTTTCCATCTCTGAAGTTGGCCTTTTGGTGTGGTCGTGATGTGAAGCATCGCGATAATGTCAACATCTAAAAAACTAGTAGTGAGCAGAAACTCAACTGTGACGTGACACACAAGCATCATCACTCAAATGTAAAGAAGTTTGCCGTCCACACATAGAAGCACTTATCATGGAGCCCAAAGAAGAGATTGCACATGGAACATCACGAAATGCTCATGCTCCAGGTTTCTTGTGTAAAGCTACAGGGTAGCCGCCTTGGCTAAAATGCGCTTTGGCTTAATGTCTCGCATGCAGGCCGCAGCATGTGAAAGTCATTGAGCCTAAAAGCCATACCTCGCTTTCCCTATAAGCGATGCTCTTCCGGATTTACCTCTTCCCTTTGCTCAAACCTCAATCTGATTTGTAAAGAAGTCTTTGTCATCGCGCCGAAGACGGAGTCACGCCACCACAAACCCCGTGGTCACACAACCTCCGTGGAAACCGGCCCCGGCCGGTCCGCGAAAACGGACGAGTTTCTCTCCTACTAGTGTCGCATTCTTCAAGGTGGCTGCTAGAAAAAAACCCATCAAGGTTTCGCGAACCAACCAGAGCAAATGGTTCCATTTTTTCTCTCTGTTTCTTGACCTGTCCACTCGACCGGACTGGCCAATCGCCGTCTTTGCTGAACCGTTTCGCCGCCAAACTAACACAGGATAGAGAGAGTCATTTATTAATAAAACGTCTTTTTTTTCTGCAACTCGTAGCCTTTTCCCCATATTCCCCCCCTCCCCGCCCGTTTCTTCCTTCTCCTCCATCATCTCTAGTCTTCGAGCTTGGCTTTACCAACTTCCCCAGACTTTTCTGAACCGGTCTCTGTCCTTGTCTCTCCGGGTGCGGCCCCACTCTTCCGACTCCGGGAACCGGATCTCCGGGTCTTTCTCTTCTCAACTTGTTTCGTCTTCGTACCCCCTCTTCTCTTCCTTGCAACTCGTATTTTCATTCAGCGAAAGAGGCAGCCGTCTCAAAATGTTGCCTCCCATCCCAGCCCTCGCCGACTATGGCATCTCTCCCACTCATGGGTTTCTTCCTGATGTCCTACCTTTGACTCGCTTGCCGGATCCTTACTACAACAAGTGGGAGGCCATCGCTGCCAACCTCACGGCCCTCATTCTTAGCCGCAGGTTGCGTGGTGTCATCGACAGGTTGCCAGTCCTCTCCACCATCGGCCTCGAACATGATGCCGAGTGGCGACGAGCCTATTCGCTCCTCGGCTTCATGGCCCACGGTTACATCTGGGGAGGCGATTCTCCAGCTGACCGTCTTCCGCCGTCCATCTCAGTACCTCTCCTCGAGATTTCAGAACATCTAGAAGTTCCTCCCGTTGCCACATATGCCGCAGTCTGTCTCTGGAACTTTAAGCCCCTCTTCGTTGACGAGGACATTGACAACCTCGAGAACCTCGCCACACTCACCACATTTACCGGTGGACTCGATGAATCATGGTTTTACCTCGTTTCGGTCGCCATCGAGGCCCGCGGTGCTCCGATCGTGCCTCTAATGCTAACGGCTATTGCGGCTGCCCGCCACGGCGACGCGGCTGCTGTGACCCGTTGTCTGCGCACATTTGCAGAGCGTCTGACGGACTTGACAACCATTCTCCAGAGGATGCACGAGAGCTGCGACCCGACAATCTTTTACCACCGAATTCGGCCTTTCCTGGCTGGTAGTAAGAATATGGCCGAGGCCGGACTCCCCCACGGCGTCATCTACGAGACTGGCTCCGGCAACGAGACATACCAACAATACAGCGGTGGCAGCAATGCCCAAAGCAGTTTGATCCAGTTCTTCGACATCATTCTTGGCATTGAGCACCGTCCTACCGGCGAGTCCCGTGATCCTTCTTCCGACTCTGACCGTGGCCGCTCTTCTCCCCGACACAACTTCATCATGGAGATGAGAAAATACATGCCCGGCCCTCACGCACAGTTCCTCAACGACGTGTCCCTAGTGGCCAACATCCGCGAGTTTGTCGAGGAGAACCAGTCTGATCGCCAGTTGTGTCTCGCGTATGATGCCTGCCTGGCCATGCTCAGCGCATTCCGCGACAAGCACATTGCCATCGTCACGCGTTACATCATCAACCCCTCCAAGCAAGTCCGCGCCCGAAGCCGATCACGAAGTCCTGAGGCCACTCGACAGAAACTCAACCTCGCCATCGCATCACGCAAGAACCAGCAGAACCAGAAGGGAACTGGTGGCACTGCTTTGATCCCCTTCTTGAAGCAGGCAAGGGATGAGACAGGAGAGCCTGCGGTTGAGGAGTGGACGAGGCGCTTCATGAAGAGGAAGCTTCAGACAGAGGGCAAGAACGATTTCTTCTTGGGCAAGACACCCCAGGGGCAACTTAGCCTGGATAAGGAGGACGTAGAAGTCAAGGGTCTTGCTGGATCATGGACCATGGACGATAATGTTGGCGGTATTTGTCTTTACTAGATCTGTTTAGACCTTGTCTTGAAAAAGAGCGTTGTCGGTATTGCATACACGGCTAGTTGTGCCACTAATAAGCAAGTTAAATAACACAGATAGTGCTGATGACAGGTTAGTGGCGTGATGGAGGCTACGACAAGTGTTTAGCATAAAACCCTTGTATAAAGTAAAGTAAATGTGACCCTGACCTGCTAAGCAGCCAGGTAATGGAAGTGGGACGCATGAATGTTCAAATCGCAGATATAGACGAACTCAATCAAACGTTTGAACAAGCTTGTCAAATCTTTTGTAGTCAGCTCAAAGGCCGAAGAGAAGAATACTAAAAGTATATACAGAAAAACAAGAAGATGGTCTATGTACAACAGGGCGGAACGCCAGGTTCAGGATGCCATGTCCTACAATGGACAAGCTTGCTCGTGAGATGACCCCCTTCCAGGAAAGCGTTTCAGCTCATGAACCCCCTCCCCTTCGTATCCAAACACTAAAAGGATCTACCTCTTAGTTGGGGACGCACTGAGCGTAGTACTCGTTGTGCTGGACGCAGGTGCTGCCGGAAGCACAAGGGAGGTTGCCGTTGGGGTAGGCGGACTTGGAACCGCCGCACTGGTACCAGGCAGCGACGGCGGACTGAGCGGTGGCGGGAGCCGACTTGGTGGCCGAGGCCTTGGCGGTGGCCTGAGCAGTCTGTTTAGTCTTCTTGGGAACGGAGCAGCCAGATCGGGTCTTGGAGGCACCGACCTTGGTGGTCTTGGGAGTCGCAGGCTCCTTCACGGGAGCTTGGGTCTGCTGGGGCTGGGAAGCAGAGTTCTGGACCTGAGTCTTCTGAGGGTTGGAAGCAGAGTTCTGGACCTGGGTCTTCTGAGGGTTAGAGGCAGAGCTCTGGACCTGGGTCTGGGGGTTGGAGGGCTGCTGGACCTTGGTGGAGGCAGGGGCCTGAGTCTTCTGGGACTGGACGGCAGCCTTGGAGGTGGAGGCCTTGCTACCGGTGCTGCCGGAGGAAGAGGTGTCGCCCTTGTAAGCAGGGAAGCTCGAGTCGTCGTTGCGCTTGCAGCCGCTGATGTCGGTGAGAGCCTTGGGGCACTGGACCTGCTCAAAGGTGAAGTCGGGGTTGTCGGCGTTCTGGAACCAGTCGAAACGCCAGTAGCAACCGTCCTTAAGGAGCTCGGGGAACTTGTCGCAGTCGCTGCGGGAAGAGATACCACCGTACTGAGCACCGCCGAGGCCGCTGCCGCCGAACTGGGAGGAGCAGCCGTCGAAGATACCGACACCACCACCGGGCATCTGGAGATCGAAGTGGTTCTCACCGAGGTCGCCTCCGGTGTTGGTGGACTGGACAACCATGGTCTTGCCCTTCACGGGACCAGTGGTGAAGGTGAGACTGTCAACTATGGTCAGTATCAAAAGCAGGACTACGAGGTGTAAGTGGCACTCACGCATAGCAAGCGCAGCACCAGGTAGCCTCGGAGCCTCCAGAGAGCTTGGTGGCAGCGAAGCCGTAGGCGAGGTTGTCGTTGACGGCGAAGGGAGAGTAGTTGGTGCAGGCGAAAGCAGAACCGCCATCACAACCGCTCTTGGCGTCGGCATCAGAGATGGGGTTGTCGTTCTTGTCACAGGTCAAGGCGGGAGCGCTGACCGAGGCCTTGCCGCTCCAAGAGCAAGAAGGCTTGCAGCAGTCCCAGTATCGAGTCGAGTGGCCGTTTCCAGAAGCGGCGTGCACGGCGAGAGGGCCGACCAGGGCAATAAGAGTAGAGGATCGCATGGTTTCAAACAGCGGTTAATGAGAGACTGGTAGTTGAAAAGAGTGTATAGCTAAGAGAACGGTAGAAGAAAGAACGAAGACTGAATGAGAATGAAGTGCTCGAGTGTCCAAGCATCATCTGGAGATGCAGCCACCATCTTATATACTTGCTGCACACGAACCATCCCACAGGGTTAGGCCTTTCTGCTGCGGCACCCGTCGCAGAGTCCAAAGCATCATGAGCATATTCTTCGAAGTGGTCTGTCAGTCTAGGGCGACAGGCATGCTTGCGAGAGTCGGTAGAGGTCAGGGATCATGGAAGTCAAAGAACAAGAGCTGATGATCGTGCAATGTCACGACCCAGTGAGCATATTGGGGCGGGCTAGGAAACGGAAGCAGATCCTCCACTAATAGGGCAACTCGGAGCTCGTCTGACGGGCCGGGGATGCGTGGGCTGGACCGCACGAGTGAGAAATG